GCACTCACAGCACCCTCACTCACACACACTGCACCCATGGCACTCACAGCACCCTCACTTACACACACACACACACACACACACACACTGCACCCCTGGTACTCACAGCACCACACACAGCTTCCTCACACGCACATAGTACCCTCACTCAAACACAACATCCTCACACGCACATAGTACCCTCACTCAAACACAACATCCTCACACACACACACTGCACCCATCACTCACAAACAGCACACATACACTGCACCCTTCACTTGGTCATTGGTGATGACAAAACACCCTTTCTGGCCCTGTCCCCTTTTCAGTGGGCCGCTGTAATTAAAAAATGCCCGGGCCGAATTTTCTTCCAGTCCGGCCCTGACTAGCTGCCAGTAATATTATATTATTTCAGTAATTCATCCAGATCCTGTCACCACCATCACATTGCCTAGCCTGCTTGTTGAACACTGGTCTGCAGTGATTTATTTACTGAAATGTGTTTAACCTTAGCATCCTATACAGATATGCTAAAATCACTTTCTTTAGACAATCCATTTTTTACTAAAATGCCCTGAAATGCAGCAAGAGATGATAACATGAGGGGCAGTATGGCGGATATAGGGGACACTAGAGGGAAGGGGAAAGACAGTATGGTGGAGAGCCAGGTAACCAATTAGGTTGCATAGGTAACAGCCTAGAGCCCAGACTGAGATAACGGCCAAGGAGGATCTCTCTGCAACCTGGATTTCCAGCTCTGTCTATGAGGGAGAGGGCTCCCTCCCGGAGCAAAAGATCTCCCTGCTCCCCCACACTACAATGATGGAGAGATGTTGTGTGCCCTCCTATCAGGTGCAGATCACTTTAATAGCTCCCTTGTGGTCCAGGCAATTCTCATACGACTAGGTGGATAGTCGCTGAATGAGTGCCAGGATTACGAGGGAGCTTTTAAAGTGATCTGCACTCAATAGAGTTACAGAACACATTGCTCCTCCCCCTATACCATCTAGGATCCAGCACCGAGTGACCTCAGCTGGCCCAGCAGGGATTATGTAAGTAGGAGGGGGCAAATGAAAGAGTAAAAGGAAAGAAGTGTAGGGAGACCTCCCCCAACACACACAACACATTTAGCCATTGCACACTGCAAAGCTTTTCCCTACACACAACACTCAGCCTTCTCCACACACACAAAATTCTATAACCCCCCCACCCATACACACAAACTCTCAACTTCTACACACTCGCCATGTATCACCACATATACACAACACTTAGCCAACACACCAACATACACAACAGTCAGCCACCACTATTCACAGAACAAAGTAGAGATGGCACTCACCAATTTTAGATTTAAAATGGTTGATTTCTAAAAACATTTATTGTAGTTTAAAAACAAATCACTGTGAGTATTATTTCTGTGAAACTCTGTTATACAATCAGACAGATTAACAATATGGAGCTCCTAGAAAAGAGAGACATTAGGATAGAAAAGAATTGCAGGTGGATTTGGGCACAAAATAAGGGCTCTCTTTTAAATATGGTCACTTGGCAGGTATGGTGATATAAAGATGCTGGGAAGCAAACGCAAATTCACATAAATCATAGCAAAAATCAAAGCAAAAAACAAGCTCTCACGTAGTCCTGACTGTACCGATTTATTGGAATTACACCAGCAATGTTCCAGCCCACTTGTGACAGCAACGTTTCAGCCTACTCACCGTTTTATCAAGTCTGAGGCATGTAGTTTAATGTGGGTGATATGGCCATGTCTCTGTTTGATCCCAAAGCCCTTGAAGGGTGTCCCAGTCAGGCACCCTGCCAAGGATCTAGAGTGATCTTAATCTGGAATAGTAGAGTGTGTAAGAAATGCTGCATTGATAGACTACTTATTTAGCATCCAAAACATGACAAGTTAGCATGTGTTAGCACTTAAGATGGACCGATACCATGACGTACATGAAAAAAAGTTTGTTTAAGCTATTAGCAGACAGCCCCCAGCAAAACGCAAGGATTAAATGGACATTAAACCTTTCTAAATACTTAGCTAACTGGGGTCAACTACCTTGTCGTAGTTTGCTCAGTTTTTCCTCATTAATCAAGTCAACTCTTTGGAAGAAAACCTGTGTGTTCTGGTATTTTCAAAACAAGGTTGAGATGAAATGAGGAGGGAGAAAGTATTGCAGACTAAGCCAATTCTCAGGGGGTGCATGGAGTAGTCTTGGTTACCGGGCTGTATAATACTATTAGTAGAATTAAAAAACACTAGGTTGCCCTAGAATTTACTGCCCTATTAAAGAACAGCTGTCATTGAATTTTCACTTCTCATTAATTACATTTAATAACACTATTTTTAAATGAATTATATTCATATTTTGCCTGAGAAGCCATGCTGGGTTAGAGTCTACCCTGGAGTTTGTAATATTTGTAAAACAATACTTTTGCAAGGGGATAGGGAATATTACTGGCTACTCTTTTCATTAAATTTTTTCCCTAATGCATTTATTTTCATTATTTACTTATTTTAACGGTAGAATAGAGAGTGTATTACATTACCTTGGATGTGATTTAGACAGATCCCACATTTAACAGTGATATTGGCAGGTGAAATTATTTAGTTTCCTAAGAATACATAAGAGATGGACACGTACAAATTTCCATTGGAGTGTCGAAGCCAATAAAGTGAGTGTCGAAGCCAATAAAGTCAAGTGAAATTCCAATGAAAAATTAATCCTGTACTTTCAGATAGGGCCATTTGGCGCTGGTCTAGTTTATATTCCATTTATTGCAAAATCAGAAAGTATTATCTTTAGCAAAATTTGTATTTATTTATTTTTTTAGCTAATATCTACTTTAGAGGTAAATGAGGGCCAAATTAGTAGAGTTGAGAATGGGTAGTAAAGTGTATTGAATGAGTATTTTTCTAACTGATTGTCCTATATTTTCTATACTTTGATCCTCGGTTCACCACATTTCACTGGTAAATAAGTTTAATCTGTCATTTTTTTTCTGGTTCACGTTAGAAATTGACAAACGTGTACTAAGCTCAAGGCTGCTGCTAGTTAATATGTAATTATGAATTTAGGTACCAAGCACTCCAGTCGTCGGTAAAAATATTTTCAAAATTGTTGGGAAGTGAATCGTGGAGCTGCGTGTCTGGATAATGAAAGTATGTGCAGTTGTGTACACTGAAAGCATACCTGAAATGCAAGCAGTCACAGGTGTCTCAGCTCTCTGTCAGATTGCCCATGAGCAAGAAATAAAGGATTTAAAATATTCAATATCTGATGCCTATATAAACTGTATGGAAGATGTTGTGTTCTACCTTTTCTGTAATTAAAAGATGATGATCACGGGTGGTTAAGCCTTCTAACATGGTTCTGTGGTGTAGATATGTCTTTAAAGAAAACCTTCCATAATTTGCCTATGATTAAGTGTCATGCTATGCAAAACGCGATAGGCAGCTGCCCTGGGGATATTTTTTTATTTTTTTCCCAGTTAATTTGGCTCAAGTTTGCTGTGTCATCAATTTTTATATTTTTTTTTATAAACTTTTTTTTTAGCAGTTTAACAAATTATGGACAGTTTTCTGTAAAAACATATCTACAATGTGGAACAGTATTAGCAGACGTATCCACCCTTGTACTTTATCTGTATCATTGAGATTAAACATCCCTGCTTAAGGACGCGGTGATCCAGTGCTTGTGAATGGGTAAGCGTTTTCCAATATTTGTCTGTTCTTTCTAACTTTTAGATTATTATTATTTTTTATTATTTTTTTGATGCAGTCGTATTTGGATTCCAGGATTTCTTTTTCGAGAGTCTATCAGAGTTTATTTGTAATTAAAATATATAGCAATATGTTAGAACCCTAAATGATATATAAAATTCTTCAGTTTCATTATAAATGAAAAAGTAATACGTGGATATTAAAACATCAAGGCTAATTTCTTTGACAGAAGACATTCAAGTTGATGTCAGACTAGTTTGTACCGTATATGCACTGTCTCCATCTGTAGGTTTGATTCCACACTACATCTGCCATGAAGAGGTGCTCACTTTATAGGTTTTCAACGTATGTGCAAACTCTGGAGATCACGGCATGACCCTGATACTTCAGTGGCTTAATGTATCTCTGCTTCTGTACCCTGTTCAGGACATTTTACATAGAGGATAGGAAACACAAATCATAGGACTGTGCACTAGAAGCCATAAGGACTGGACATCTGGTGCCATCTTCAGAAAAGCATCTGATACAATGCTGGAAACAAAGACAGATTTGTAGGTGCTCCTTGGCAATAAATACAATAAATACTTAAAATAATTATGTAAAAAAATTAATAAAATGATTTAAACATTAGGAGGCAGAACAAGCTGACATTGAGAGACATGCATGAAAATGCGGTGGCTATGGAGGAAAGAGTCAACATACCTGTGACGAAGCTCCTATACCAAGTCAGCTTACTCACTGCCACCAAGGGACCCTCGAGTGCTTGAGATCCAGTTGCTGGAGCTTGACTAGGGCCTCTGAGCACCTTTTCCACCTGACCAGGCTGCAGCTCTCCTTCCAGGCAGGTATCGTCCCCTCTGACTTTGCCTCTTCAGCTCCTCTCCCAGATAGGCATCCACACCTCTGCCTACACTGTGACAGCACTGCCTTTACAATGGCACTTGTGGCGCTCAGGCCTAGCTTTTTTTTTAATATGTCAAAGGAATCAGGGACCAAAGCAGCCAGCTAACAGGTCTGAAGACTTTATTACTGGGATCCCTGAATAAGCTAACCAGGACACACAGTTCCAAATGGAACCAACACACACTTTATTTTGGACAAAGACTTGCCTTTGGATACTTGTAATGCCTCCAATATATAACACAATCACAACTTTCCAAACTATGGAAACACAGATATACAGATGCATTTTCCTAATTTGCATATTGTAATTATACAAATCAATGCATTTTTTCAGTTTCACCAACAGAGGGTGCTGGAGAGTCATGACAAGTCTAAAATAATCCCCCTTACCTTACAAAAATGGCAAACCTAAACCAGGGGGGAAAGCAGACCAAATGTCTCCAGTGTACTTGCTTCCCCAAAACAGAACCCCATTCTAGGCCAGGGCCCATAGTCGGTGGGAAGGAGGCTGACCAAGGTAATGGAGGACTGGTTTACAATATCAAATAGGTAAAGAGTCCATTAAAGCAAATAAACTTTGCTTACCGCCTTGACCTTTCTGTATCCTGCCATGCTTTTGGCACTCTAGGCAGGTGCCTACCCTATGGCATATACAAGCTTGTCCCTAACTGTAGGTCTATGAGAAATTCAGCTTCTATTACAAATTCCAAGGGCTATATTTGTTAAAAGTGCATCAAACATTTTTCTTTTCAATTAATATAAATATGTGCTTTTTTAGATACACAAAAAGGGATACAACAGGGATGTACAAGGGATACATAAAGGTCAATAAAGACACAAAATGTGGGAGGAGGTGCGGAGACAAACAGCGGTTGGGGCGTTTTTATTTTACTTTTTAAATATGGAAGAGGTGCCAACAGACAATTCTAGTTTTGCCTCTGGTGAAGACAGTGTGCGTCCCATCCAATTAGAATAGCTTTTCAGAGATGGTAACAGGAAAATGAATGCAGGTTGACAGTCTCACATTGCTAGTGCAGTAATGAAGGTTTTTATTTCAAGTGCATTCTATTTTATCCCCAGACTAAATGTATTCTGGTTTCGTCTTTTAGCTCCACTAAAACCACAAGGTTAAGATAGAAGTCCAGAGTCTGTTTAGTACAAGGAACAATTTTGGTGCAAATTAGGGGGCGGGATCGCACTTAGTTTGAGTTCTGTGTGCAAAGCGATATTTTCTTCTTATTTCTGAACTCTATTGGCACGGTAACACTTGGGATCCTGGCATTCTCCCCCTATGGCATTCATGCTCGTTAACCCCTTTGGTTCTATAGAACACAACCTGCCTGTCTGAACTCTCTTAATATGTCGGTTGAACACGGTCTTCTGTTGACCATGAGTCAGAGGACACCCATCACACAAGTGATGGGTTTTTTCAAAGCTTTTGATCTTTTATGCAACACTTTTTGGGCAAAGTTGGAATCCCAACAAAACTCTGGGTGCCCAGGGATCCCACAGTCTCATCTGCTGAGATTGAAGGCTGAGCCAGGTCTGTGGTGGAAGAGCAGGGCCTGATGGTGCTCCTGAGGTCCTAGTTGCTGACCTTCTCTAGGAGAACACAGGATTTACTCCCTTACACCACCTTCAATACACTGATTCCTACACCTGGAGTGTCTGGTCTGGCAGATATTGTGTATATATTCAATAACCTACCTGGTGGCTGGTTGACGGTTTTGCTGGGGCATTCTGCATCTACAGGCCTCTCGGCTACAGGACTCATGGAATCCAGTGACCTTCTAGTGGGGATGCAAGGTATGGCTGCCTGTGTAGACATTGGCTAATCCTGCGATCCAGCATTCGTGATCGACTGCTCTGTTCTAGATTACTTCTAAGCCACGATCCACGCCGGCTCTCTATTAGCTATCTATTTTATAAATGCTCTCAGCCTTATTTTTAGTTTGCTTTTTTATATTTTATCTGGATGATAACCTAGTTTAACTGAATAGTAAATTGCTAGATCAGTTGAACCAGGAGGTCCTCTGAAACTAACCTCATGCTTATGCTCTAAGTGCCATTAGTTTACATAGAGACTCTGTACCAATCTTGATAACTAAATGAAACCAGTATGTTATCTTACATTGTTTACCTGCTAGGTATTGTTATTTTTGTCTCCTCTCTATTACTCATCGGAACATCTTGCTGTCCTTAGGCTGACGTATATCTCCTATTATAAAATGAGGCACTGTCTGTTTACCTCTTTATTGCCTAACATTGTTTTTCATCATTCATTGTATGGTCTCACTTGTGTGAGGAGTAATTGCCTCAATAAAAAAAATTCACAAAATCAAACATATGTTGGTGCACATTGCATAAATCATTACTTTTCCACTGACTGCTACAGGTAAAGCACATTTACTTGGGTGGGTATGGTTAAATGGCCCTAAATCATTCAAAGTCATTGTGCAAGCAAACAAGAATCCTATTTTGAAAGTGTTACACAATGGAATATTGTCACATACAGATGAAAAAAAAACAATAACACAATTAAAATATAATTGTTTTTTAATATAAAGGAAGTAGGAATGATTTGTCAGCAAACAAAAAAATAAACAAAAAAAAAAATATGTTACCCACTTGGATTTATCACAAAGAAGCTACTACAGACTTCACTAAAAGCATAACATGGTAGAATGCGTCACACAAGATGAAACAAAATAAAATAAAAATAGAAACATACTAAGACCATAATTTACAAATTTACCCTGCTACAAAACTGTAGATCTGAAACATTAAGAGTACACTCTAATATTCTATTATATTTTAACCTCATCCAGGAGGATTTTTTATGCATCTAACACATTAAATAGTAGAGCAGTGTTATTCAAATTTCAAAATCAAATTAATTGAGAAACTTTTTCCTTTAAATTCTTAAAGTTTCATTTATATGAGACTTGTTAAGATTTGTTTGTCACGAGATGTTCCAAGAACTTTTCCTGCCAACTCAATGTGTATTCTGAGGTTTAAAGGAAAACAGATGTGACATATTGCATTTTAATATACCACTAACATGACAAAAATTGAAGCCATGTAAAAAATAATGCATACAACATCTGCCCCATTTGTAAATGTTACTTTCACTTCTGCATGGTGACGTCTGGGGCTTTTCGTTTTTCTCTTGTTTTCTACTCCTAACAATGTAGCTACATGCATTGGAGTCAACATTGCTGCTGTCTTGAGTATACAATCTTGTGTGCATGAACGAGAACAGTGACATCATATGTTACATCAGAGGTCACATGAACAAGAGCTCCCTCAAGTTTGGGGGGGGAAATGACATCAATTGGCATCAGCACTTAGAATCCTGAAAGACAATAGGGCAGGGGTAGGTAACCTCTGACACTCCAGATGTTATGGACTACACCTCTCCTGATGCTTTGCCATCGTTATAGCTGTTAGAGCATTATGGGAGATGTAGTACACAACAGCTGGAGTGCCAAAGCATGTCAATCCCTAGGGGTTCCATGGCACAGATGTCACGGCCGAATTTCCACTCGCTACTGTCAGTGGATTCTTTGAGTCCCGATATCAAATTACATGTATTTTTTTTACAAACCTTTATGTTTTCATTATAAGAGTGAGTTTGTTGATTATTCATTATCGGCATGCGTATAGCGCCAACATAGTCTGCAGTGCTTTACAATATTATGAAGGGGGAAATTTAACAATAAATGATAGAATTACACAATGTTACTGTAATAATAGGTTGATGAGTACTCTGCTCAAAAGAGTTTAAAATCTAGAGGATTTAAATTGTGCTAATGGCAGATTTTTGCAATGCAATAGATTGTATTAGAATTGGTTATTATCTGTCTACAAATTCAGTTCATCCAAAACGTTCATCCAAATCTACAGGCAAAAAGTGGCCAATTCTGTTAATGTGGAATTAATGTTGCTTATTTCTATAACTTAGTTTTAAATTTCAGCAGTTTGGTTACATTTTGTACCGGCTGAAATCTGGAATACATTCAATCTCATTTTGGGGGGTGCTTTGCAAAATCCAGAAGTTAATAAATATTGTAAATGATGGTAGTCTCTTATTGTGTGAATTGGATCGGGGGAATTTGGACTTACTATAACAGTCCTGGTTTTCTCAGTATTTAGATAGGAACAGAATAAGGAAATGCCTAAATCCTGAACTATTGGTGTTTTTTAAGGACTGGGTTAGGAATCACTGGTCTATAAGATTAGTGTTGTATCGTCTAGGATTAGCACCATTGATGTACAGACACATAAACAGACAGTTATATGAAGTGCACAATTAGCTAAAAACATATCTAAACATCAACATTAATAAACTATCATTATTATTATTAACGTTGAGTGTGTTTTAATTTCGCATATCTATGCATTAGGAAATTTGTGCACTTGTTTATGTACATCATTATATATATATATATATATATATATATATATATATATACACACACACACACACACACACATCATTGTGAACTTACTACAACTAGACCGTGACCTAATTTTTAGACATAAGAATAGTTGTATTTATCTGCTTAAAGTTGCAAAAGAAAAATAATCCCTTCTAACTCCATCACCATCTTCCTCTTACCTCCACAATTTATTTCCTGTTTAAATAATTGCACCTAGAAGTATATAGCACTGCCCATTTAATAAAAAAGGGCAGGATGGAGATCTACTCAGTGCAGTTTATTTTGTAGGTGGAATAGTTAGCCATTTTTGCTTATGTTTCTTGATAATTTGATTTGCTTGACCTTCAAACTGTAAGATGTTACAATATTGTTCAGGCACAAAGTCATTTTTCTCATGAGTTTCCTCCTTTTGAAGACCTAGACGTGTTGCAAAATATTAGGGTTAAAGATATTCCCACGATTGGCAATTTATTTGTGTCATATCCCTGCTATATTTGTACTTGTAATACATTCCACATCTCAAGAAAAACAATATACGTCAGTGCACTCTGCTATATTTTCATACATATTGTTATTTTAATCCCGTGTTAAGGTTTCTGCATTATATAACACAAATAATTATGTGAACACTCAGATACATACCCTGCTACTGACCTAGAATTTGAGGACAAGCCTTAAATTTAGTTTTTCCAGAGATTTGGATATTTTTAAAGCAACCCAATCAGAAAGAGATTCTACAATGCATAAAAAGGGTATGTATTCACAAATTAACACGCTTACTTTATTTATTACATGACTTCATATGGGGAGGGGAAAACCTAGATGCTCTGGAGCACCTGTAAATTTGTGATTTTCAGCTTACTTCTGCCTATACTACACATTACCACGGAAAGCTATGGATTTGAAGTATTTTAAAGATAAAAAATAAAAATAAAAATTTTCTTCAATAGGGAATCATGTTTCAAATTGTGGGATTGTAACGGTAATTTATGTGGATTTTAATCATAAAAATAAAATTATTTGCAAAATAAACAGGCTTGTGATTCACCCTTTTACTCCTCAAAATGATGGAAGCGTAGCATCCATGACAAGTGTGCCATGCACTTACATTAAAAATGGCACAAATCGTTTGCGCAGCAACTGGAACCAAATAATATCATTGTTTGATGTTTCATACACTAGACAAAATTCTTAAAGATGTTCTAATAAATTTCCGTTCAGGCTGTGGTCAGAGGGTAGTCGTCGACTTCACTTTAGATGACAACACCTGTTTGAAGCGTCTTTTCAGATCCTGCATGTTGGGAGATCGGGGTCGCACAAGATGAAGTCCCCTCCGTTTCTCCCCATTACAGCTGAAGAGCATCTTGCCTACTTCTTGGCATAATTGGTAAAAAGCACCATATACTCCCTCATAGTTTTCACGGGCAGATACCTCAGCATAGGATCCGGTCAGTTCGTTAGCCAGCTGGAGACCCTCGTCAAAATCCACTTGTCTGGCCCTCAAAAGGTCAGCTTTATTGCCCACCAGAAGAAGAGGGATCTTGGTATTGGGGTGAATTTTACGCAAATGCTGGAAAAGAGGTCTAATCACCCGGTAGCTGTTGTAGTCTGTGATTGAGTATACAAACACAAAACCATCTGCCCAGTAGATGGATCGATTGATTTGTTCCTGGCAGGAAATATTGTCCGTTTCATCCTAAGACAGAGAAAAACAAATAAGAAACACTCAATCACCAGTGATTTTCTGCCCGTTCCTTTTCCCCCTGTCCATCCTTCTGTAATTTGAACCATACACAGATTTCATGCTGCTATCATGTACATTCATGGTGACAGAGGTTCAACTAAATATCAGTGGATACTATGCATGGATGTTTTCAAAATATTTAAAGAGCATCTTGCTGTCTCCCAACCCAGACTGTTCTAAACCTGGCCACCATCGCTGGTTATCTAACAGGAGAAAGAATGGTGGTCCTCAGTGTGCTCTCTTCCTGTGCTCTTCACTCTTTCTCTCATATCTTTGAGTTGACAAACTATAATATTCATTTTAGTCATATATAAAATGAATCACAGAAGGCTCTGATATCTATGCTAGTGCTACCCTCAGTATGAGGAACACAGGGGTTGCTAAACTAAAGGACCCCATATGACTTGTATTCCTCATACAGGGCTTCAGCCCTCTATGCCTCCTCCCCACCAATGCCCCTGCCTGTCTCCTAGGATCCACTAAGCCATGGTTCTGAAGACATCTTTAAGAAAACACCATGGTCGACTGAAATACCTATATACACACACACACACATTATAATTACATTTGCACAGGATCTGTTTTAACAAAAAGTTTAACATAACATTTTTTTATGTTGTAAATTTCATGTTGACAGTTGGGTTATGAAAAATGGTCTCCAATTCTTATCTATCCAGTTTATTTCAGTATATGTTTAGCCAGTGCTGATTTGCTCTATTGCTAATTATGAGAAAAAAAGCGAATCTCTAAAACAATCTACATATGATCAATGTGTACAAGGGCAATAGGAAAGCAACTCACAGATCTGTGTAAACACATGCCATGAAGTCAAATTTTTATCTGATAGATAATGCTACATGCAAATAATAGACGTTTTACACTCTCCAACGTTTCGCAATTTAACATTTACTAAACTGTGCCAAAGTGCTGCAGGTTCCTAGTAGGAGATATCTATTTCCTGTAGTACCTGACACATGCCCCGGTCACTGACAAATTTAGCCAATAAAATCTACAACCTGGCATGGTATAGTCTAATTCTAGTAGAACATGTTTATTAGTGTTTATATGTACTGTTAAACAGCACTGTTGTTTGTGTACTAATTCTTCCAAAAAAGCCAAATAGGAACTTTAAATGGCATTGTTATATCATTTCTAAGAAACTTGCATTATCTGATTCTTGCCCTTACAGTTAACCTATCATCCACTAATTGCATGAAAGTCCATCCTTGTGAGATCAACAGCAAATGTATAGATCAAAACATATAACAACCTGAATTGTTTTTCTTCTCTTACACTATAGTGACTATAAACAGCAGGGCGGCTGTCTCTCAAACTCTAAATCAGGGGTGTTTGAGAGATGTTTTAAAAAACGAAAGGCTCCATGATGCTTTGCCCTTCCAAATGCACTCTAAAGGCATGCAAAGCATCATGGGGGTTGTAGTTCTATAATCTGGGGATCTATCATTTGGGCACTCCTACTCTAATAGATACAAATGGTATAATAATTATTATTGGTTATTATTTATTTAGTGCCAGCTTATTCCACAGCGCTTTACAATAAGAGGGGAATTTACCAAATGAGACAATAACAAAAATGTAACAGGAACAATAAGAGGAGGTGGGGTATAAAAACACAATAGGAAGGGTATTGAGAGAGACAGCAAATAGACATGGTGGGAAAGTAGCAGAACTGGAGGTGAGAGTGGAGTGTGGCCCTTTAGTAGAGAACAAGATGAAGGTTTGAGAGATAGAAGTTGCTCTTGGATGCTATAAGCAATCCTGAAACGATGGGTTTTGATGGACTTTTTAAAGGATTGAAGACTAGGGGAGAGTCTGACAGGGGTAGGCAGGCTGTTCCAAAGAAAATGAGCCGCCCGTGAGTAGTCTTGCAGGCGTGAATTTGCAGTAAGGGTGTGAGCAGCAGACGGGAGAAATTTATCAGTGGAACGGAGCCGGAGAGACCGAGAGGGGGCATACCTAAGAATCAGTGAAGAAATGTAAGAGGGGCTGGAGTTGGTTAGGGCTTTATAGGTAAGGGTTAGTATTTTGAATTGATACCTGTAGGTTACAGAAAGCCAGTATAAGGGTCACCGGAGGGGTGAGGTGTGAGATGAGCGACAGGAGAGAAAAATCAGCCTGGCAGCAGCATTCATCACAGATTGTAGGGGGGCAGTATGGCTTCTGGGGAGACCAATTAGGAGGGAATTACAGTAATCCATGCAAGAGATTACTAGAGCATGAACAAGCTCCTTGGCAGCATCTTGGGTTAAGAAAGGGGCCTATGCGGGCAATGTTTTTAAGCTGGAATCGACAGGTTTTAGCAACAGACTGGACATGAGGTGCAAAGGTGAGGCCAGGATTCTGCAATTACTTTTAGGGATAGAATGTAGCTGTATGTGGATTCCAAATCTATAGTTTGTACAGGTTAAGATTAAATGGAGGGGTTAAAATTATACTTTGAATAATTTTTCAAATATACATGTTGGTATGTAATATACATGTATATATTATATTGCATTCCCTGTAATCATTGCCACTAAGTTTGTTGTCGCGTAGTGCAATGACTCTTTTGGTCCCCTCCACCCTACCATGGGCCTTCTCTGGTAACAGACCACATGACATTCCTGGTGGTCCACCTGTGAACTCCTCTGGTCTGCACATTCACCAGGTGCAGACGTTGTGTATTTTTTTAGCAAGATGTGGCTCTGATAGTGTCAGAGCATTGGTGCAGGACACCATAGCAACTTTTAAATACTACCAGCGAAAGTGCCGGAGCTTGCAAGATCAACAATCTCCCTCACTGGCCCATTAATGGAGACTGCAAGTTCTGCATGGGCCAACCAAAGCATGTTTTGCCATGGCACGTGGCTCCATCTATGAAATTATACATAGCACATAACCGGAATAAGTTCCAGTGCACTTAACACATGTGACAACAAATCACTGAATATATATAGTTTCTTTTCCAAGAAGAATTTAAAGCAATCGGTCTACACTCCTTACAATTAATTGAATCAACAGCTGCTAAACAGATGTTTCAATTACCCAACTCTATAGTAGCATGCAATGGATTCCCTTAGTTAATGGATTATCAAAGTGAAACACCAGTAAAGCCACCCACATGGCAGTTCGTGTAGTAGTGCAAAAATAAAATAACAATTAAACAAAATTAACAAAACAGTCCATTCTAGAACCTACAATGCAGGGTAATAAAGAGGCAGCAAGCCACTTTTTGCATTGCATATATGGAGATATCATCAACCAATCCTGTTATTAAAAATAAATAAAGAGAGGGGGGCAGGGCCTGGCTGCCATGCTGGAGAGTCGCATCTTGCCTGGGCTCCTCTCCTACTCGGGCAATACAAGCCGTCATTAACAAGTTCAAGCTGAAAAAAATCACTCACCCACCGACTCATCTGCATCCCGACCTGCCTGCAGCACACAGCGGAGGTTGGAAGTGAGACAGAGGCCCACCGGAGGCAAAATCGAACAAATGCGGCCTATTCAAGTGTGGATAGAATGGGGGTAGAGTGTTGATAGAATGGGGATATAGTGTGGATAGAATGGGGATAGAGTGTGGATAGAAAGGGGGTAGAGTGTGGATAGAATGGTGGTAGAGTGTGGATAGAATGGGGAAAGAGTGTGGATAGAATGGGGGTAGAGTGTGGATAGAATGGGGATAGAGTGTGGATAGAATGGGGGTAGAGTGTGGATAGAATGGGGGTAGAGTGTGGATAGAATGGGGGTAGAGTGTGGATAGAATGGGGGTAGAGTGTGGATAGAATGGAGGTATGGGAAGCAGTGTTCCTTTTGGCTGCAAATTTAAAATTAGTTTTAGTCATAGTCTTGACTAAAAAGCCGTTTTAGTCGTATTTTAGTCATCTGAATTATTTTAGTTTTAGTCGACAAAATTAACACTAATGGGAATCCCTACACAGACATTCTCTTTACAGTCTCCTCTCCTTATTTATGAAGCAGATGATCAGACTGATACATATTCTCCTGGTGTTCTATTTGACAAATTTTATCATGAACAGCGCTACGGAATTTTGCTGGCGCTATATAAATAATAATAATCATGAAATCATGCTGATGATGTCTGTAATTACCAAAGCATAGATATCTGCCCCTTTTATATAGACATGAACAGAAGATCATCCCCTTCACAGCAAGAAGTAATATACAGTGGGTGCATGTGTTAAATTTCCTCTTCCCAGAAAAATTAATTCTGTGGATACAAATTCTGCTGCTAGATTAGTAATTGATTAATGAGAAAGTTGTCCCAAATGTGTAGGTGATAGTTGGCAGATCATTAGCTATAATAACTGCCTACACCCATTAGGTAGCACTGTTCTAATGCAAGTGATAAATCATGTACACATATTATTAAAATCATAAACCCTGTTGACATACTGAAAGTAAATCTCCTTTTTACGTTAAATGGCTTTTAGGTGAAAAGCCAGGAATTCATGTGTAAATCTTATTATGTGTCCTTTTGGTTGGGACCGTTCCACCGCTTAGAATAATCTGGCTATTTTTGGCAAAGTAAAAAGTCTGGTGATCTAGTCCAGACCCTTGGGCTAGGAAAACATAAATAACACAATACTGCAGTTCTCACGCTGGGAGGGAATATTCTTGTTTGACCCAATTTTAACTGATTTCTGTCATTGTTTCATTTTTAAAAGCAAACTTTTTATTCTTAAACGGGTTGGATTACTAACTAAACTCTTTTAGGAATGAAAAAAAATCTGAATGGAAAAATTGCCAGGTTGTGATTATGGCTGTGTTGGAGAAATTATCAGAGCTAAAAATAGCTGATTTGGGGGGGGAGTGGCTTGGCTACTGATGGAGTAGGATGCACACTGCACAAGCTCCTAGGCCCCAACCCGCACAAGTTACCACCCCAGGACCGTTGAACATAGCCCCTACGGGTCAACAGCCGGGTCCCATGGATGACTACCTGTCCACGCCACAGGGCCTCCAAAGCACCCTCTCCTGGCTCCAGCAGCTTAGCAGGCTCCACTCAGGAATCCACAAGGGGAGAGACACTGATGTGATGCAGACCTGGCAGCGATATCCGCAAATATGTTCACCCACAGAGACAAGACCGAAATGGTAGCTGAACTCCGCTCCATTATCTGCAAGAAAATCACAGCAGTGTGCAGGGATCTCTCAGCACTCGAACAGCGGGTAGATGACTTGGAGAAAAACCGCCTGCAAACATCCCAACATCTGCAGGCCACAGAATTGGCCACATCACAGCAAGGTAACATAATCCTGGACCTCCGGAGCCAAGTGGAAGATCTCGACAACAGGGGCCGACGCAATAATATTTGCATCAGAGGCATGCCTGAATCAGAAGGGGAATCCCCCCAGGGGCTACTATCGGGCCTGATTGCACATATTTTAGGGGAGGGGGCCCCACAAGAGTTTGGCATAGAGAGCGCCCACAGGGCACTCAGAGCGCCCAGGAAAGATGGCCTACCCAGGGACTTGATCTGCTGCCTGATGTCATTCCAGCTTAAGGAAACTATAATGAGGACAGCAAGAACTCAACGTACCATCAGATACATGGACTCCCAACTATCACTTTACCAGGACCTATCAACCGTCACTCTGGACGCACCCTGAGCATTGAAACTGCTCACCAGCCTGAAAGGAAGATACACTACAAGTGGGGATTCCCGTTTAGCCTGCAAGCCAAAGTCGACAACCACTGGCACATGGTACGTTGGCCTAACGATGACCCTGCTTTTTACGGGCTGTGGGCCTACCGAATGTACCAATCCTGAACTGGATCCTAGATTATCCACCAGCTCAGCCTACCGGCCCGACCGCAACCACCAGCCAAGGGTGCCGCGCCTAGGCCTCACCAACGCTGTTTTGGGCCAAACGGCCCCAAAGAATAAGGAGACAAGTGGCACCCCCAGCCGTGCGGCCCCACAGAGGCTCGCCTCACACCATGGCCCTCTGCAGGCACCAGGACAGCGAGAGCCGGGTATGTACTGTACACCCTTGCACCCCGGCACTCTCCCATTGGCACGAACTGAATATGTTCTGAGGAGAGCCCAAGACTGGGTGGTGAGTTGGTTGGAGAGAGAAAGAGGGAACACACTACGAAGCCCTAGGCCGGCAGATGCCCCCTCAATCTCACACTGGGCACTACAAGGCACTTCGGATGTGGGTGGGTGGGGAGCCGCAGGAAAAGGATGGCAGACTTATGGGAATCTGGCTGCAAACACAGGAAACCCGCTACTAGGGCAACTCCACCATGCACTGTCACACCTGGCACTGGCCGAAGGAAATAGTCACTGGCTGCGTGTTAGGGAGCCCTTGCCGAGAGGGCTGGGGATGGGGGGTTGCAGGGACAGGCTGTTGAGTCTGGGGGGGGAGGGTACCGCATGCCCTTAGCTCCAATAAATTCTAACTGGTACCAGAAGTAGTTATGGTGCATAAGAGATACAAAAAAAAATAATCAATGAATAGTATATTTGCTAAATTATAATAGTCCCAATAGTAGAAACAAAGATTGTATTTTAATCTCATTCCTTTGAATACTGTTTCCACATAGATATACAACTATGTACCAATATATACACAGATAAATGTTAAGATAAAAAATGTAACAGAAGGGGGAAAATTATCTCTCGGTTATATAGAGGAAAGAAGTAAACAAAATAGTCTATCACATATATATCTGGAAAGGTTGGATAAATCAATAGCAGCACACTAATTGGTCTGAAGGGTATGTCAACTAAACGGTGAGAAAATATTACATGCAATAATTAAAGGAACACTATAGTCACCTAAATTACTTTAGCTAAATAAATCAGTTTTAGTGTATAGATCATTCCCCTGCAATTTCACTGCTCAATTCACTGTCATTTAGGAGTTAAATCACTTTGTTTCTGTTTATGCAGCCCTAGCCACACCTCCCCTGGCTATGATTGACAGAGCCTGCATGAAAAAAAAACTGGTTTCAATTTCAAACAGATGTAATTTACCTTAATTAATTGTATCTCAATCTCTAAATTGAACTTTAATCACATTTACAGGAAGTGTTTATGGAAGGCTGTGCAAGTCACATGCAGGGGGGTGTGACTAGGGTTCATAAACAAAGGGATTTAACTCCTAAATGGCAGAGGATTGAGCAATGAGGCTGCAGGGGTATGTTCTATACACCAAAACTGAAGCATTAAGCTAAAGTTGTTCAGGTGACTATAGTGTCCCTTTAATGTAGAATACACCTCATGCAGTAAAATGAATGTCTAAATGCAAAATATATACAAATTAGCATCAATAAAGTATCAATGTGTAAGTCCCAGAGTCCACAAATGTAACAGCTCATACCAATAATAAGCAGAAAATCTCTGCTGTGGAAACTGCCAGGGAGCCTGCCTACTAAACTGTAAAATCTAGTATCAAAACTAAAATCCCAATGTCATAATAGTTTGATATATCAGATTTAAGTGGGTATAATCTTTCATAGGTAAGAAGACCACCAGGATCTGGATAGTTTCTTTGTATGCACCATAATCAGATGGGATGACTCTACAATAGAAAGTGCAGAGACATCGTGCTTTCCAAATAAAAATTTATTTGTACATAAAATAAGTATTAAAATCCGCTCACAACATCTGCAGCACCATTAGATACGCTCGAAGAGTCTCAATCCTAACAGCCTGGGTGCTCCTATGTGACTGTCTACTTTGTGCCAGCTTGGGAGACAGCTGGGGATTCCGAGATGAGAGACGGCTGTTTAGATGATAACCGTGTTCGGCTGTTTAGATGATAACCGTGTTCGTTCCACTGCGGCTCGATGTGCGTTGCTCTGTGCAGACAGTTTCCAGATAGTGAAGATTGAGGAAACCTTATGCGTTTCGTGAGGTCAAACTCACTTCATTACACACTGATGAGTACACACAGACAGACTGCTGAATGCACACAGGCTGCTGAATACACACAAGCTGCTGGGAAATCGGAAGGGAGACTGTCAGTGCTCCCTCTGGCCCCAGCATCTCTCTCCAGCCCCCAGCAGCTCTGTCCTGAATTCCCTTAGACTGTAACAGTCCGAGGGAAAATAATAAAAGCACATGGCCTTGCAAGTTGCCGGGACTGTCGGCAGAGAGTAAATTGTCCGGGACAGACTACAGTTTGCCAGGACTGTCCTGGCAAAAAACAGGACAGTTGGCAACTATGATACACATAACGTCACCACTGCTATCAATTGGCAACAGTACATATACAGAGAGTGGCCTTTTATTGTGGCCAGCCTAAGACACACCTGTGCAATAATCATGCTGTCTAATCAGCCACACCTGTGAGGAGGATGGATTATCTCAGCAAAGGAGAAGTGCTCACTAACACAGATTAAGTCAGATTTGTGAACAATATTTGAGAGAAACAGGCCTTTTGTGTACATAAAAAAGTCTTAGATCTTTAAGTTCAGCTCATGAAAAATGGGAGCAAAAACAAAAATGTTGCGTTTATAATTTTATCCAGCATAAATCCAAATTCAAACATCCAAACACTGCCCACAAAATAAAAAACCTGCAAGGATGGTTAAATGTTAGTTCTTCAGTGGCAACACATCATAGGAGATGTATGACAAGTGGGAATCTGCTTTTTGGCCACCCTTGCTAAGGGGGCCTAAAAAATTTTCTTGCACCAGAGCCCTCATTACATAAGTTCTGCCACTGCCTCTTACATTACACGTTACTTGGGTCTCTGCAATAGCACATACACAGTACACCTTGCTTGGCTCTGCAATAACCTATGCACATTCATGTGGGCTCTGTAATACCCCACACATAGTGCGCATTGCTGGGGGTTCTGCAATACCCCACACATAGTGCGCATTGCTGGGGGTTCTGCAATACCCCATACATAGTGCGCATTGCTGGGGGTTCTGCAATACCCCACACATAGTGCGCATTGCTGGGGGTTCAGCAATACCCGACACATAGTGCGCATTGCTGGGGGTTCTGCAATACCCCACACATAGTGCGCATTGCTGGGGGTTCTGCAATACCCCATACATAGTGCGCATTGCTGTGGGTTCTGTAATACCCCACACATAGTGCGCATTGCTGGGGGCTCTGTAATACCCCACAAATAGTGCGCATTGCTGGGGGTTCTGCAATACCCCATACATAGTGCGCATTGCTGTGGGCTCTGTAATACCCCACACATAGTGCGCATTGCTGGGGGCTCTGTAATACCCCACAAATAGTGCGCATTGCTGGGGGTTCTGCAATACCCCATACATAGTGCGCATTGCTGGGGCTCTGTAATACCCCACACATAGTGCGCATTGCTGGGGGCTCTGTAATACCCCACACATAGTGCGCATTGCTGGGGGTTCTGCAATACCCCATACATAGTGCGTATTGCTGTGGGTTCTGTAATACCCCACACATAGTGCGCATTGCTGGGGGCTCTGTAATACCCCACAAATAGTGCGCATTGCTGGGGGTTCTGCAATACCCCATACATAGTGCGCATTGCTGTGGGCTCTGTAATACCCCACACATAGTGCGCATTGCTGGGGGCTCTGTAATACCCCACAAATAGTGCACATTGCTGGGGGTTCTGCAATACCCCATACATAGTGCGCATTGCTGGGGGCTCTGTAATACCCCACACATAGTGCGCATTGCTGGGGGTTCTGCAATACCCCATACATAGTGCGCATTGCTGGGGGCTCTGTAATACCCCTATACATAGTGCGCATTGCTGGGGGTTCTGCAATACCCCATACAGAGTGCGCATTGCTGGGGGTTCTGCAATACCCCATACATAGTGCGCATTGCTGGGGGTTCTGCAATACCCCTATACATAGTGCGCATTGCTGGGGGTTCTGCAATACCCCATACACAGTGCATATTGCTCGGGGCTCTGCAATACCCCATACACATTGCTGGGGGCTCTGTAATACCCCACACATAGTGCGCATTGCTGGGGGTTCTGCAATACCCCATACATAGTGCGCATTGCTGGGGGCTCTGTAATACCCCACACATAGTGCGCATTGCTGGGGGTTCTGCAATACCCCATACATAGTGCGTATTGCTGTGGGTTCTGTAATACCCCACACATAGTGCGCATTGCTGGGGGCTCTGTAATACCCCACAAATAGTGCGCATTGCTGGGGGTTCTGCAATACCCCATACATAGTGTGCATTGCTGTGGGCTCTGTAATACCCCACACATAGTGCGCATTGCTGGGGGCTCTGTAATACCCCACAAATAGTGCGCATTGCTGGGGGTTCTGCAATACCCCATACATAGTGCGCATTGCTGGGGGCTCTGTAATACCCCACACATAGTGCGCATTGCTGGGGGTTCTGCAATACCCCATACATAGTGCGCATTGCTGGGGGCTCTGTAATACCCCTATACATAGTGCGCATTGCTGGGGGTTCTGCAATACCCCATACAGAGTGCGCATTGCTGGGGGTTCTGCAATACCCCATACACATTGCTGGGTGCTCTGTGATACCCCATACACACTGCACATTGCTGGGGGCTCTGTAATACCCCATACACAGTACACATTGCTGTGGGCTCTATAATACCCCATACACAGTGCATATTGCTGGGGGCTCTATAATATCCCATACACAGTACACATTGCTGGGGGCTCTGTAATACCCCATACACAGTGCACATTGCTGGGGGCTCTATAATAACCCATACACAGTGCACATTGCTGGGGGCTCTATAATACCCCATACACACTGCACATTGCTGGGGGCTCTATAATACCCCATACACAGTGCACATTGCTGGGGGCTCTATATTACCCCATACACAGTGTACATTGCTGGGGGCTCTATAATAACCCATACACAGTGCACATTGCTGGGGGCTCTATAATATCCCATACACAGTGCACATTGCTGTGGGCTCTATAATAACCCATACACAGTGCACATTGCTGGGGGCTCTATAATACCCCATACACACTGCACATTGCTGGGGGCTCTATAATACCCCATACACAGTGCACATTGCTGGGGGCTCTATATTACCCCATACCCAGTGTACATTGCTGGGGGCTCTGTGAGACCCCATACCAAGACTGAGTCACCAGAAAATCGATGACTTTACTCTCTCCAACTTTCTGTATCTTCCTTTTTTTCTGTAACTTCTTTTATTTTAACACCCCTGTGTGCAGGTATGGTGGAACATAGAAATAAAAGTATGCAAAACATAGCATAAAATAAAAAATAACCTCATTGTGTATATGAGAATTTGCAATACTGAAGATATAGCAATACAAAGTTATCTTCTACAGGCCAGAGTCTCCATCTCTTGTCACTTGTCACTGGATATAACACATACTAGTGGTTTGGGTGCAATAGTAAGTTACCAAAATATGAAGAATTAGAATTCATTCATACAACATAACACTCATTTAGAATACCTAGAAAGCTGATATTTTAATCACTCCTGGCTCATTAGAGGCTGGAATAGGCTGGTAAAATATGCAGACCACCCCAGCAGCTTTTTCATCCATCAAGATGTTGTCTGATTCATGTGAAGGGAAAAGCACAAGATATATACAGATCATTTGGAATTTAAAAGCCGAATGATGATAGCTCATTTCTTAATTGGTTTCTCAGTAATTTTAAAATACTTGGTGATCTGTATGTATGCTCCTGTACTGTATGCAATGCTCCCCCTTTCACAGTAAGAAGCGTGGAAACTTAGCTCCTTCTACATATATAGAGTTTTCATGAGTCCCCGCTGCACTAGAGCCTTGAATCTTGTTCTTTTACTTTTACATAAGCCAGTCATCATTTTGACATCTTGACATGCTGCCAGTAATTGGGTGGGTTAGTAGCAGAAAGCCCCAGCTTCCATTGAGCTAGGAGTTGTTAAAATGTCATCTTTGTATATATGTTGAATGTGAATAATACTGTGATGACGGGAGTATAATGCATAGTGATGTGAGATGGTCCTGAAGAACGGAATGGATATTGGAGTTTAATAGAAGAAAATATGCCTATTTTTTAAAATAATATTACCACAATATTGCTATGTCTGCAGATATGCAAAGTTCTTATGTACACACAAGGCGACTTATTTTTAGGCTATACTTCGCTATAAATATTCCTTTACACACATCATTCCAACACTCAGGGGCAGCAACATATACAGAGGTAAGATACACCAAGAGGGCAATAGTAAGTAGAGTGAGAGGGTAATTGCCAGAAAGGTATTACACATATGTCAACAGAAAATGACTACGGACTGTTAAGTTTGATAATTCCAGTTTTGGCCTCCCCTGTGATGCAGGTCCATATGTCTGTTCTGTGAGTGTCAATAAAGTTGTTACTGCTCCTGTTGTCCGTGTTTTTATTTTATTAACCAACATTTCCTCTTTGTTGAGCTTGATCTCTCTGATGGAGTTAGCAAATCTGATTTTAACTATGTATGTTTTGCAATTACAGTGAGGGGAAAAAAGTATTTGATCCCCTTCTGATTTTGAACGTTTGTCCACTGACAAGTGTATAATTTTAATGGTAGGTGTATTTTAACAGTTAGAGACAGAATAACAAAACACAACGCATGTCAACAAAGTTATAAATTGATTTGCATGTATAGACCAAATTATAAATTATAGACTAATCATTTCTTTGTTGGTGGAGAAACGTTTAAATTAACAGGAAATCAAATACTTTTTTTTCTGTCACTGTAAGAGCCCATTTAAACATTCTGTTTGGTATGTCAATAGAAAACCCTAAGAAATAGGATTTAGGTATTTTAACAGCAAATTTGAATTTTGGGATGGATGATAAGAGTGGGAAGAAAATTAGAATTTTGGGATGAAGTGGGATGAAGAGAGTTACTGGATGGAAAGGGGGTGATGAAACTGAAGGGTCCGTGTACATATTTTTTGGGGCTTGACCTCTCTGTTAAATTCTAACTTTGCTAGAGAAATAAATATGTAAATCAAACGGAAAAAAAACATGCTTACATCTGGAAAGCTTTTTTAAAAAAAATTAAAACACTGAAGGCACTATAACCATTTCATCTTATTGAATTGGTTATGGTGCCTGGAGTCCCCTGGCACTGTTCCTCCATTCAGTGTTAAACCATTTTTGAGTAGTTTAACACTGAAAGAAGGTCCCTGGCTTCCCGTAGCCTCATGCCCATTGTGGGTGTGTCTAAAGCAGAGAATACACAATTTTTTCTAGCCATACCAATTCATATCAGCAATGGGCTATGTGATAGGCACTCACAGCTGTCCATTGCTGCTCGGCCAATGCTTCCTCATTAACCTGAGCAACAGAGAGGGGATGGGCTACTGTGAACTCTCGTATATCACAAAATCATTAAAAATGTCTTAATGTTGAAAGAAAGGATAGAGCCAGAAGACCCCAGACACAGATTTACTGAGAGGGTAGTGGATGCATGGAATAGCCTTCCAGCTGCAGTGGTAGAGGTTAACACAGTGAAGGAGTTTAAGCATGCGTGGGATAGGCATAAGGTTATCCTAATTCTAAGATAAGGCCAGGGACTAATGAGAGTATTTAGAAAATTGGGCAGACTAGATGGGCCGGATGGTTCTTATCTGCCGTCACATTCTATGTTTCTATGTTACTATAACCACTTCAATAAGATGAAGCAGTTACCGTGCCTATAGTGTCCCTTTAACCCCTTAAGGACACACGGCATGTGTGACATGTCATGATTCCCTTTTATTCCAGAAGTTTGGTCCTTAAGGGGTTAATGATACAAATAGTTGCAACAGTGTGGCATGCTACTGAAAAAAAATCACAAAACAATTGTCCGGGGGAAATCAGTCCATAGTTGATTCCAAGTGAACCTAAATCGTATAATAAATGCAATTTAATATGTGCAAAAATGTCTTATATGGAAAATTGGAGTTACAAGCAATCCCAAAAGACTGTATGTTTGTTCACCCACTGCTTCGATTTTAGATGCACGTTTGCTCAATCCTTATTTCTGTTTATTTTTCACGTAAGACATGTAGTTGTAGTCCAGCTGTTTCTTCTCCAATGTGTTTGCGGCCATGGCTCTTTAATTGCAGTAAGATTTACATAGGCAGTTCAGTATCCCTGACCTCCATGTTATCAACTGATGGATGAGTTTGCCCTGTGTTTTGAGTCAGCAGTTAGGACTTCTCTTCATCAGGAATAAGCCAGTGGGAGATATTAAATGCCTTGTTTGGATTTGGATTAAATGCTAAACCTCGGTTTCAGCAGGAAAAGCCCTGGCTTGAGTCGTATGACTCAGAAGGTTTGCTAATAACATCTGTCTCCTGAGTTCAATAGCCTAGTACAAAGGCATCAACCTCTTTGTTGATAATGAATTATACAGAAGGAAAGCATACTTACAGAAAAAGAGAATCTAGAGAATGAAAAGGTCATCTCTGAAGTTATGGGCATTAGAATTAGTGGAAATTAAGTAATATATTACTGTAATAGCAGTTCAAACAAGGTAAAAGATTTCTAAACAAATGTGTATTGTAACGTGTATCACTTTGGAAAGAGACATTTCATACTTTTAGGACTGCTCAAAACAGAAAATGTCACATAAAAAGGTATGTTAACAGGAGGGTGGCTGAAAATATTAAACCTATGATATGTATGTATGTGACAGTTTGTGTATGTCAGTCAGTGTGAGTATATGTCAGTCAGTGTGTCAGTTTGTGTATATGTCAGTTTGTGTATTTGCGTGTTTATAGCAGTCTGCATATCTGTGTGGTGTGTGTATATGTCAGTCTGTGCATCTGTGTATATATCAGTCTGTGTATCTGTCAGTGTGTATGTGTATCTGTGTGTCAAGCTGTGTGTATGTATCAATAGTGTGTATCTGAGTGTGATTGTATGTGTCAGTGTGTGTATCTGAGTGTGTGTATGTGTCAGTGGGTGTATTTGAGTGTGTGTATATGTGTGTGTGTGTTTGAATGTGTGTGTGTCAGTGTGTTTATTTGTGGGTATCTATGCTAATGTGTATATTTATCTCTGTAAGTGTGTATGTGGCAGTGTATGTGCATATATCCCAGCAATCAAACACAAACACAAAATGCAAACACATCCCTACATTCAAACATCAACACTACACACAATAGCACAACTGCATTTAGGAACCAGTACTACATGAAATACAACCCTGCATTCAAACGCAAACACTACACACAAGTAGACCATTGCATTCCAATGGCAACAGAACATACAAATACATCCCTAAGATCACACACATTCTCTGTAAAAAAAAACATGCCTACATTTAAATGCACAAACACTGCTGCATTGTCACAAAATGCAAAGATATGCAAATGCAAACCCTTCTCATGGGTAACACATTACCTGTGACAAGGAACCTTCTGCCAACATACATCGCTATGCAACACAATATCCATGCAAAAGTTTGTAACAGTGTCTGGACTGTCTGACATATTCTTGTTTGAGTTCATAAGAGGGCACATCCTTTCTGGGCAGGAGGATATATTTTAAGCCCTCCACAAGCCTTCTTGTCTTTTCACTTTTCAAGGTGATGGGGGATTGGATCAGCTCTTCCCAATAACGCAAAGGCAGAGGTGACAGGAGCACCTATAGCAAAGGGGACACAAGTTTGGCAACAGGCACCTCCCTCATTACCTCAGTGCCCCTAATCAAGGAACAGCCTCGTCTCACTCCCACTCAGTGAACTTGAATGAGTCTTGAGATAAGAGCTGACGTTGCCCACACCCCCATCAGAATCCCTAATGTCCCCCTTTTTTTTTTTTTTTAAATAACCTCCGTTGTAATTATGGTATAAAAAAATTGCGTTTTAGCAAATGTCTATTTTTGTATTCTGTTTAATGTATCACTTGCATGTAAGGGATTAAGGGGTAAGTGTAGTTACCAAAAAGGTACTGTTTATTTTCAGAGAGAAAATTATTCTGAACAACATAATACATGATTTGCGGGGACATATAGAAAAATGTGCTTTATGGACACCCAAAAAAAAGAACAAATAACTTGCTCTTCTACACTGGAACGAGACTAAGCTTAGAAAGGATCACGATGAAAGAAGATAATGCACGTACAGTTTGAAAATGTCATATGGATTTAAGGATCTTGATAGTTGTAGCTCATAGAAAGCCCTTTATCCTTCTATGTAGCTTAAAGAAAAAAAATGATATGAAAATTGAACATTTCAGGCCAAACTGAAGTAAATTCTCCAAACTATTTCCCAGCTTGTCTAAGTTTGCAATTCTCTTCAGTTCTTATTTTAGTGAATGATACTAATGCAGTATTCAAAACAACATGACCAGGGGGGCGGGGCGGGGCCGCCGAGCAGAGCGGTCGCAGGGACAACCAGCTCCTGTAAATGATGACCCACTGTGAAGAAAATGGACTTTAATTGACATTTTCTTCTTTATTCTGAATTTTTTCTGTGTTATTACCTGTATAGTAAATGTATTAGTTCGTTAGTTTGAAACTACCGAACGCCGACCACCCTCCTGGCTTTTTAACTACAAAGGAACCAGCTATTAAGTGCTCCCTGGGCGGCCGCTGTTCGTATAGCTGAACGCCACGTGGAATAGAAAACGGCGGCCATCTTGTTCGCACGAGGGGAGTCAGCGGGACTTGGTCGTCGAGTGTCTGGAACTAAAATCGGACACTCAACCTCGCGAACTACCGCTGAAACTACCGAACGCCGGCTTCTTGTATCTCCCGAACAGCCAGGGAAGCGCCGTTCGGTAGTTCTATGCGAACGGACAAGGGGAGCAATCGCTGCTATGAGCCAGGGGGGTCCATTCGGGACTTTTGTTCGGTTTTTACAGATTTGTGAATTGACCGACCGCAGGAACCGCGTGTGTGGTCGGTAAAAGGGACCCTCCACACTTTTTCAGAACCCCTGAACCGATCTGGGTGAAATTTGGATATGTTTGTCCCCCAGATCGGGGCTATTAGGGGATATGTAATTTGTGGGGATACCTTTTGGGGAAAGGGGTGTTCTAAGTTTTGGGGAAATTGTGTGCTCTCTGCCTGGAGATAATTGGTTTATTCCTTAACTTATCTCAATATCTCCCAGGCAGAGAGGAGGCGTATATTACTGTAAATCTGTACGTTGATTGGCTGTTGTCTTTGTTTGTTGTGGGAGGTCCTCTTGCAGGAGGATTTCTCATAAAAGCCTGTGTCAATAAAATTCATTCCTGTTACACCCTTCATGAAGTCTAGGCTCATGTTTGGGGGATATTTTACTTGCTGGGAAGAATCACCTTGGAACTGCATTTCATCTACCTTATTCCTCTACTCCCTGCTGCAGCTATAATCACTCATGCTCAGCTGTTGGGAAAGGGAACAGAAGACCGCAGCACCATAACCACTGCAGGTCTTAACACCCACTAAGCCTGGAAATAAAGATTCTGACCACTCATACCACCCATACCTGCGACCATCGATGAGTAAGGGCTACCCGAACCGGGGAGAGGCTTGTTCCCGGAGTTTTAGTCCCCCGGAGGGGAGATCTCAGCTACACCAGGCGGGATCTTTCCTGGCGGTGAGGGGAGAGGACGGCCGCCGCTCTACTATCCCGCCCAACGGAGCCTGATAACCATGTCTGTGCGGACCCGGTCCCCCCCCTCTGGGCCTGCGGGGTGATACCGGTCCTCACATCGTAGCCAAAACCGGAAGCTGGAACTTGCCAGACCGCTGCGAAGGCCTGAAGCCAAGATGGTGGCGGCCACGAGTGAAAGTACCAACTCACAGAGCCAGAAACAGGCCGCTGCACCCAGCCGGCCAGACAAACGAGGAAACCAATGGCGAGCAAACACCCTAACAAACGGGTACCATAGGAGGCAGAGGGATGAAGAGGAGGGGAGACACACAGCACAAGGCAGCACCCCAAACACCGCTACCGGTGCCATGCACCGAGCTACCCACCTTCTGTAAGCGAGAGAGCTGGAGCCCAAGGTACAGCGATGCCTCCTACCCAGCAGATACTCAGCAGCGGCACCCCAAGATAGCAGACACACAGCATGAGGCCCTCACGGACGGAGCAGAACGAGAGGCACAGGAACCACCTGGCGTGTGGCTGACTCTTACCAACAGAACTGTGATTACTAGAATCTCTCGGGACTCTGACCCTACTCATAAGTATCAAGCGTGATTGAATAATTGCATATCTACCAGCTTAGCCATAACGCACTCGGACTGCTGGGGATGGGACTTGCTGTCCAGTCTAATGTGCATTGAGCATGATACCCTCTCCCAGTTTTCTGGGTACACTCAGTATTTACTCCACGCACAGCTCCCACAAAGAGAACTGAATGAATGCTACCGCCCTGATGTTCCATAACCTCATGTTGCCTGAATCCATATGGTTAATAGTATAATTTAATCTGCTCCTTCCATGCTATCCGGTTAGAGGCTGCTGAGATAATCTTCTATACTTACTCTTACTGTTTATTCATGTTACCCCATAGATATACTAACCAGCGATGTGCTAGTGCTAATATTCCTGCAGCAACCTACAACACTAAGCTGGAAACAGTTAATCTGCCCCTGCCGGGTTATCCTGTTGGAGGCTGCTGTGATAATCTTTTAGACTTACTCTTATTGTTAATCCATGTTACCCCATAGACATACTAACCAGCGGTGTGCTAGTGCTGATATTTTTGCAGCGATTCATAAAACTAAGCAGGAAGCGATAAATTAATCACCAACTCAGTCAATATTTGGCGGTGTAACTTTACCATGTCATTTCATTCAACATAAAAATGTGCCTGTCTAGCGAATGTCACAACCTATGTTATGTACTGTACTTATACATACCTTGATACCGCTGTTGTGGCAAACCAAGGCTGTTTGTTAAACTTGTGCACGACAAAAAAAAAACATGACCAAAAAAGCATCAATATGTAAATAGATAGCCTTCATTCTGTGGTCTCCTGTGGTCATGTTCACTTAAAGGGACACTACCGGCATCAAAAGAACTTTAGCTTAATGAAGCAGTTTTGGTGTATAGATCATGCCTCTGCAGTCTCCCTGCTCATTCCTCTACCATTTTGGAATTAAATCACTTTGTTTATACAACCATAGGCACAACTAAATACTTCCTGTAAAGAGTTATCTGATGCTTACACTTCCTTTATTGCAAATTCAGTTTAATTTAGAGTTTCATAACACCTGCTCTGTTAACAGCCTGCTAGATCCTGCAGGAGTCTCAATTTACAGAGCAGGAGACAAAAAATTGTGAAACAAGTTAACATTTGAATTAAAATAAAACCTTTTTTAGATGTGGCAAGGGCAGCATGGGCAGAAACAAAAGTGTTTTAACTCATAAATGGCAGAGAATTGAGCAGTGAGACTTCATGGGCATTATCTATAAACTAAAGCAGGTTCATTAAGCTACATGTTTTGGCGCCTTCAATGTGCCTTTAAGTTTCTCTTAACAAATGGGGTTAATTAACACTTATCTAAAGGCTATATCATTATGGGCCATCTCAAAATGTTCAATAAGAGCAATGAACAGCAAGCGGCATTCCTGAGCATTCACAAAGTCTAGCAATTCACTAAAAGTTGTCAATTTTTCATTTCCCGCTCTATCAAGTCTCAACAAAGTATGTTGTAATACAAAACACGCAGACTTACCTGTTATTTTCACTCGTGTGGCACTGGAGCTAGTTACTCTGAGTGTTGTATTACTGAACATTTTACAAGCCCTCAAGCGAGAAGCAAAGAATTGAAAAGTGTTTAGATGAATTACTATGTTTCGTGAAGTACTCAGGAATGTGGTATGCTAGTCATTGCTCTCATTGTACACAGAGAAATCCCAAAGGGTTTCAATGAAAAAAATAAAATAAAAAAAATGAATAGTAGATTTAGTGGTACTGAATGATAAACAGTAACCAGTGGCAGTATGTACAGTAATGTAATGAGTGAGCAGGTTAATTTCACTGTGCACTCAATTTAAATGACAAAATGTTTCCTTGATGTAAACTATGCAGAGTATATTCAATATATCCTTGTCTAATAAAACATTGGATTCGTTTTACCAAAAGATACACTGACAGGGTTATTCAGTAAAGTGAGAATTCAAAGTGAATTTCAAGTTTAAAGGACCACTATAGTGCCAGGAAAACATACTCGTTTTCCTGGCCCTATAGTGCCCTGAGGAAGCCCCCACCCTCATGGCCCCCCTCCCGCCCGGCTCTGGAAAGGGGTAAAAACTTACCTTTTTCCAGCGCTGGGCGGAGAGATAGCCTCCTCCGATCCTCCTCTTCTCCTCCCCGTTGGCTGAATGCGCACGCGCGGCAAGAGCTGCGTGCACATTCAGCCGGTCACATAGGAAAGCAATCATAATGCTTTCCTATGGACACTTGCGTGCTCTCACTGTGAAAATCACAGTGAGAAGCACGCAAGCGCCTCTAGCGGCTGTCAATGAGACAGCCACTAGAGGAAATAGGGGAAGGCTTAACCCATTAATAAACATAGAAGTTTCTCCGAAAAAATGGGTTAACCCTAGCTGGACCAGGCACCCAGACCACTTCATTAAGCTGAAGTGGTCTGGGTGCCTAGAGTGGTCCTTTAAGGCCAGAGAAGTCGAACTAAAAGCATAGCTGACTTAGGGAATTTTTTCATTTTGACTATTTTGACCTTAGACTTGAAATTTACTTTGAATTCTCAAAAATGGCTAGAGAAAAAATCATACGTTTCTCAAGTCATTTTGTAAATCGGGAGCCACAGATTGGCAGCAACCCTGCCCTTGGCAGCCATAATCTTCTCTTTTTAAGCTTTTCAGCAAAATGGAAGGGGGTAGAGAGATAAGGTGCTGGAACACAGACTTTGGGTTAAATGTACATGAACAGTTTAATCCCTGAAAGTGAGCCAGCGCCAGGAAATTCCTGGCACCATAACAGCTTTACGTTAATGAAGTTGTTATGGTTCCCGGAGTGTTTCTTTAAAATAGCAATGTAACCTCTTAAGGACAAATTGTTTGTCACAACAAAGCCTTTAAAGATCAAAATGGTATGCCCCAGTCATTCTGTAATTTTGATGCTGTGTAGAGCTGTAAACACAAATAAGTATAAGATTCTATCCTAGCATATGACCTCTGTGAATCAACTTGTGATCCTTAAAAGGTTATGAATGATTCCAGCTCTGAAGTCCCTCGGCGCTGGGCTTCTCCACAGATGCCACCCAATGAGCATGGACGGCGAATGCCGTGCATGCATTAGGCCTTCGCCATTGGAAAACAATAACTCAGTGCTTTCCGATGGGGTTTTAGAAGACGCTGGACATCCTCATGCAAAGCATAAGGACGTCCAGCATTGTATCACAAAGTCAAACTCTGGGAAAGGCCAGGAAGCACCTCTAGTGGGTCTCTTAACCCTGCAATGTTTGCAGCTAAAACTGCAATGTTTGTAGCTGCAGGGTTAAGGGAACAGGGACACTGCACCAAGACCATTTCAATGAGATAAAATTGTCTGGGTTCCTATAATGTCCCTTTAAAGAGTTTCAATTCACTGAAAAATCTTCCCCTACATGTGAGACTGTTATTTAGTCCTGTATCATCCAAATGGATGACCTTGGTAATATATCAGTAACATTTACAGAATGCTGTTGTGTGGCTGTGGGTTACTTGGTCATTGACGCAGAGAGTAGATTACAGTCAGTCCAAATCTAACTTGTCCTAATTTGGCCATTTCCTCTGTAATACGAGGCTCATACAGGAAACCCTCCCAATAACTAGACTACCAGCAGCTGTTCCTGTGTACACTGGACAGCTCTTGGAGTTATTCATGAGAACATGAGGCAGAATTCTCATAAGGATGACATAAGGGAAAGCTTCCTAATTAAAGGCTATTGCCTGCAGTGTCAGAGTCACTAGTAATTTAAGATTATTCTTCACTGCATTTTAACTCATAAATCCTTGTTAACTCTGCCTTACTAATCCCTTGCAAAGCTTCTGATAAGTAACTTTTTATACAAAGATCTTCTGAAACAAATAAAATCCAGATCATCAATGGTTTATAATATTTCTAAGGCAAGAATTAATGTAGGTTGTTGTGGCCTTTAAAGAGTTCGGTTTTCCATTTCTCTCTTATGATAGAGAATTATATATTAGATGTAATGCCAGGAGTTGTTTTTAAATCATGGACTGTTTTCTAATACTGTAGTTAATATGATCAGTGGCGTCTCATATACAGGGGTCATATAGGGAGCCAAAGTCACACATGGGGGCCGTTAATAATTACATATGCCAAAGTCCCACTAAAAATAGCATAGGACACATATACTACTTATACAGACACATTACATACAAACAGCAATTCTGACTTGTTTGCTCAAGTAAGAATTGCTGGGAATTAAAGTGAATTTCAAAATTTAAACCAAAACAGCTGATCTAGAACAAATTTGCCAAGTCAATTCTGTGCTCAGTTTGGCTATTTGGACCTAAATTCATTTTAAATTCACATTGAAGTCCTGGAAATTCTCAGTTCAGTAAATAACTGTTAAAGCGTTTTGCTTTGCATCTACACAATGTTGTGAGTTGTATTGCTTTGCAGCTCTGGAGTTTATTCATACACATTGTGTGGAAATCTATTCACAAACCGGACTTTACATAGGACACGAGGCCATGCGTTTAGACTGGAAGAAAGAAGATTTTGTCTAAGGCAAAGGAAAGGTTTTTTTACTGTAAGAACAATCAGGATGTGGAATTCTCTGCCTGAGGAAGTGGTGTTATCAGAGTCCATACAGATGTTCAAACGGCTACTAGATACATACTTGCAAGAACAGAATATTCAAGGATATAATCTTTCAATGTAGGGTAATAACTGCTTGATCCAAGGATAAATCTGACTGCCATTCTGGGGTCAAGAAGCTATTTCTTAGCTTGTTGCAAAATTGTGCTTCAAACTTTTTTTTTTGCCTTCTTTTGGATGAACAGCAAAAAACAAATGTGAGGTAGGCTGAACTTGATGGACGCAAGTCTCTTTTCAGCTATGTAACTATGTAACATTGCCTATCGCTTTGAGATTTTTTTTGTTGTAGACTATAACATCGGGATAAACCCAGGCACCCTCGACAATAAAACTCACAGGAATGTGCAATATGTATAAGTGTATTACAGAGTTCCTTAGGTATGATGATCCCAGGCGATCTGTGGGGGAATACATGATCTGCACCTCCTCCAGGTAGAGCAGACCATAGTAAATGCTCCTTCTGGTCTAATGCTTCTTAAAGGTTGAGGAATCCAGAGGTGCTTCTAATCATTAACTGAGCACTGGGACATTACGTGGACATAAATTGTGATCTGAATCTGTTGGATTTGCTATTTCAACAGTAAAGTTATTTAATTTGTATTTAAAATACTGCCAAATCAGCAACATAGGGAATAAAAATATAAGTAACATATTGCAAGGGGCACATGGTGTGCCACAGCATGGGGGAGGGGAATAAAACCTCTTCCCAGGCCCCCTCGTTTGTTACTTTTTATATTTGTTCGTCAATGTAATGCCATTCACAGGACTGTAATATAAAATGGTGCCCTATGCATCTATCTGTTACTTATTGGCAACAAAGAGCTTCAAGAATAATTAGATCACTTTTCTATTTTGGTATAGCTAGTGCACACCGTCACGTACTTCTGGCTGGAGCCATTTTATACAAACGTTAATGCTACTGAGCTCCAGTTATATTATTTTTGCTGTGGAAACATTTTTATACATAACTCTCCTTCCCAATTGTTAACACATTTGTAGAAAATGTAATTTCACAACCATCTACAATTGAGGTCAGACAGTAAATATCAATGAAAAAACAGCACATCCTCCTGACTTCATTATGACATATTTTATATTAAAAAGTGGACCTCGGACAGGATGTACTAATGCTGTGAGATGTGGTTATGTCCTCAGGGCATTTGTATAAATCCAAAAATTGAACTTCTTGCACGGCCCATAACAGCACATCATTTACTGGGAGCAATGGTTAGAAATCCAAAACGGAATTATTTTTAATACTGAAGGTGTGGAAGCTCGAGTATTCTTATTTGGTCTTTTGTTTTGGCCCAGATAGATCCATGAGATGTCTAAGCTTGCCAATATCCTTAATGAATAGTAACATCATGCTAAGTAAGGCAAAGTAAAATATATATTTAAAGTGTGAAATTATACAAGAGGAAAATACATATTTTGTATATTCACATGGAATGTCATTTTGCCATATTAAGTGAACGCAGCTCTATACCTCCTCTCCCATTTTCGTTTTTTTCACTTGAAGTACACTCTATCTATTCTCTACGTGTGTAACTGAAAATTCTAGCTCAATTTCTGGATCACATTGCCTCCTGGCTCTCTTAATTCCTCTCTTCCCACATCCCTTCACTTTATTATTTCATGGGCCATACTAAACGGTGTTCCTGCTGTGGAAAAAGTACAGGACTCGAGCCCTGGTTAATGTGGATTTGATATTTGGTATTTAAAGTGGGTCTGTCAAACACAAAACGGTGGCTGATAATATAGATTTTGGATAATTAAATAAAACTAACTCTGTGGCTACCAATCATACAGATGAAATGAATTCCTGACTTCTCCTGTATATCTGTGGTTTATAGCTTTATTCTGAGAAAGATCAGTTAAATATATAATGTATTATATACATGTCATAGAAAATTGTTCTATAAGAAAGAGAAGTCCCTTTAAGGGACTTGGTGGTGTGTTATAGGAGGGGTGAACACTATAAGGCAATAATGAAAAAACTGAATTGTCTTTTGGGCTATGAAAGACCCAAAAGGCATAATGAGGTCCCTTTAAATAATCAAAATAAATCATTTTTAAAAAATCACAGTTTATTGAATACAATTATAAATACAGGGACTATGCAAAAGAAAATAGAAAGAACCAATAATAAAAAAATAAAAAAAATGTTCTCCTAAATTACTCCATAATACCACATTGTGATGGTAAGTACACTAATGTTTTACTGCTGAAATTGTTTTCCCTTTGTTTTTTGGCACCACCAACAGAACTCTGAATTACAAAACAAGCAAAATGCTTTGTTTCATTTGTCACATGGTGACTCAGAGTAATTCAGTTGAATTGTTGATCGTCCCAAAATTTGGACAAATTGCCATTCCTTTTCAATGGTATGCACAATTCTAATTTAAAAACCATTGTTACGATGGCATAGACTGCCTGTGGTCTCTCATTAAGGGGTTAAATGTTCACATGTTTTATATTGAAACCATACTTGAGAAAAAATGCATGTGTTGGAATTCTTCTGGATCATTCTGTGAAGTTTACATAAAAATTACTGAAAATAATTTACGCTGCGGTTTTTCATATTTACATTTATCTAAATATTGCAGTCAGAGTGGAAACAACTAAAACTGCAGGTATTGCAAAATGGCTAGTGACCTTACAATCTAAAACAGGGGTGTCCAAAAGCTAAATCCTTAAATGTTTTAAAACTACAGCTTCCATGATGCTTTGTCATTCTAAAGACATTCTAAAGACATGAAAAGCATCATGGAAGTTGTAGTCCTACAAGATCTGGGTATCTATCTTTTGGGCACCACTGATCTAAATGCTATAATAATGGGAAGCATAGGCATGATGTTGCACCATTGGAGATATAATGGGCATTTGAAAATATTGTTTAGGTTATTAAAGGGACACTGTAGGCACCCAGACCACTTCAGCTCATTGAAGTCGTCTGGGTGCAATAGCCCATGTCTCTTAACTATACAGTGGTAATTATTGTTAATTAATTAAGTTTTTGAGAAACTGCAATAATTACCTCAGAGGGTTAACTCCACCTCTAGTGGCTGACTACCAGACAGCCACTAGAGGGACATCCTGAAGTGAAACAGACCTTTGGTCCGGTATCTGACGCTGGGCGTCCTCACGCTCTGCATGAGGACTTCTAGCGTCAGATTTTTTCCCCATAGGAAAGCATTGAATGATGCTTTCCTATGGGGATATCCTAATGCGAGCGCAGCCTTTGCTGACGTTGGTGGGGGAGGAGCATGGGCGGTGTCTGACCCAGCGCTGAGGGACATCGACGCTGGATTCAGTTAAGTCACTGAAGGAGTTTTAACCCCTTCAGTGGCACGGGAGGGGGCGCACGAGGGAGGGGGGCACTGTAAGATTCTGTAGGGCCAGGAAAATGACTTTGTTTTTCTGGCACTAAAGAATCCCTTTAAGATGTTCTTTGTATATATTAAAGAATAACTAGAAAATAGTAGAAAATAACTAAAAATGTTATATAGGTAAAACATAGAGTTGCTAATGAGAAAACAGTACATACCAGATGTAGACATAAAAAAGCTGTATGCTAAGATTTTGGTCCATACATATAGCACATGGAATTTTTGTATTTAATATACAACATTCATTCTTTTAATTAAGCTCAGTGGTAGAGTGTGTCTATATATAGAGAACTTTCAAGCAGACAATCTGCTTTTCATTTAGCCAAAGACTTTAAAAGTGTCTTCTAGTGAGCTATCTCACATGTGCTAAGCAGATCACATTACTGTGCTTGAAAAATGCCTGCAATTGCTACGTGGCCACGTATGTTAAAAAAAGAGTATTTCCTTTTAAATTCTTCAAAGCTGAGAAAAAAAATCTGCATTATATTAAGGAATTCATTGTTTTGAACTTTCCACCACAGTCGATATCAGTGCAAATGGATTCAGGATTACACAATCTAGATATTGTAGACAAAATAAATTCTTGGAAGAATTGGCTCAGCAGCCTAGTACTTAATCCCTGTTGTCAAAATCCTCATTTAATGAATGTGTTAAAAAGGGTTTCTGGAAAGGTGGGTATTAATGAAGTGGTAATATAATTGACTGTAATTTTTCCAATGGAAAATAAAATCCTTATTTTCAAAGTTTCCTGGGTTTGATGGAAAAGTTACAGTATCACCTGCATATCTCAAGTTTGACTTTGAGAAGTACTCATTGGGCACAGAAACTTGAGAAACCATGCTTCCACAACTATCCCAGAGTTCTTGGTTTTATATGCTAATGAGCAGAGACAGGCATTGTGCTTCAAACGTGTGTCCACTGTGTCCAGTGTCCACTTAGCATTGGACACTGTTTTCAACACAGCTTTTTAAAAACCAAATCATGGGCTATGATTGGTATTATTATTTTTTATAAAGCGCCAAAAAATTCTGCAGTGAACCAGTGAACAAAAACCAGCCATGGACTGCGTTTTTGAAACCAACATGCCACTGGTTCTGGTCTGGAAGCTTAAGTTTGACGAGACAGTCCTTAATTCATGTTCCTGTTCCAATATTCATGACATTTACTAATAGCATATTTCATCTTATAGCACTGACCATACAATAATACCATTAAAGAAGTCACAGTGGAGCTATATCATCAGTTAAAAGGTACAAATGTGACATGCCACTTAAAGCAATACTGTCACCTTCTGTGGACTTTGCATCATTTACAAAGATCAGTGACATCGCCACTAGGGGTCCGGTGGCTAGGGAGCAGGGAAAGGTAAGTTATGTCCCTTGTGTGCAGTGCCATCTTTTTCCAGCAAGTCCTCTTTAGCGCCAGGAGATAAAATCACTGCTGTACTCTCATGCATGCGCAAGAGTACAGCATTGAGGTCTATGGAGGAGACCCCAGAATCCTCCATAGACAGAGCCAACTCCAGGCGGCCATCATTGGTGACGGCTGGGGGGATTTACACTTCTAGACGGTGGATGCGTCAGCTGTAGGAAAAATACATCTGACATAAGTAACCCCTACTTTGTCTTGTGTTTTTAGCTAGAAATAGATGAAAAATTAAAAAAAGAAAGACAGACAAAAGGAAAGAGGATGAGAAGAGGAATCGATTGAGAAAAGGCAAGTACAGCGTGACAATACCGATATAAATCCTCTGACTGTTCTGTCAATTTATAAATCTATAATCATTTACAGTGTACAGTTTTTATGTACGAAAATAATTCTAATTATTCATATAGGTGTTTAACTACATAACAACGCAGAGTATAAAATAGCAGATGCCTTACCTCCATTGAGACAAACGGTGTATCCTGGACCTGAAGAGAAATTTGTTCCCCATCAATTGTGACTTTTCGGGAATATAGTGCTCCTGTGGATTAAGAAAAGCATCCATAAGAATAAATTTCCCCTGTGCTTCAGGCACCAAAAAAAAAAAAAGGCCAAATTCCTAAGGACAATAACACCACTTTTAAACATGAAACAAGAGAGAGACAAACAAGTTATCATACAAGTACTTGTACATGTCCCAGAAACACTTGCACGGGCTAATCAGTTTCCTAATGATAAAGTATAAAGTGGTGGTGGGGAGCGAGGCAGTCTCTCAGTTCTACTTACAGTAATGAAGAAATTGAGTTTGTTTAAGTGCTCCAGAAAAAATATTCAAAATATGACGGGGCATTAAACTTTGACAAATTATCTTTGCGGAGTACATTTCACACATATTTTTGTAAGGAGACATGTCACAGTAATTGCACAATACTTTATTTACTATACAGTAAAACCTAGAAGCAATAAGGAATATATGCAATGCTTTTTTTATTATGCCTGCTTTACGTATACTATAAAACACATTTTATATTCTGGCCCCATAAAGAGATTCTTTATCGTAAAATTGTTCTTTAAGTGCACGTTATGTTTGTGGATTTGAGAAGGGTTTACTACCTGTGTTAATTAAAGTGTGATTAGGAGAAATGTGAAAAGCTTGTCTAGGAGACGAAAACTTGTTTTTTTAAACATTATACATCCTTGTTAATGTCACCATGTTTGTTAATTCTGTTTATTTTGCTCTCTCCTGCTGTTTCTATATTGCTCAATGAGGTGCTCTGGGCAATTGCTGCCTCTTGAGTTTAGCTTCACTAAGCTAACTAAAACAGGAAGTAACAGGACCTGTGGTCCGATTGACAGCTGAGGATGATGTAACCAGGTTAATTTAAAAAAGTGCAAATCTCTATTGAAGTCTGCTTCTTTTTGGAAAATGATAAAAGAGGACACACTCTTCACACTTAAAGCACATCAGCAAGCTTTAGGGGTCTGGAATGTCCCTTTAATCAGAGGCTAAAAGTAAGAAATAGAAGGACGAAAAAAAAAGAGGTAGAGAAAAAGTAAAGAAAGGGGAGAGATGGGTGAATATAATGAAGGATGTCAGTCCGCCCCCGTCTCCCCAGACGCTCACGTGGGACTATGCGTCACGGATGACGTGAGGGTTATCCCGAACGTCAGTGACGACGATCCATTCCGGGAGGGGGGCGTGAGTAGGGAACCCCCTCAGCTGATTAGCTCCCAGACCTTTAAAAGTCCCGGCTTTTTCAGCCGGCATTTCCTCAGCCCCTGACGAAGGTGTCACCGCACACCGAAACGCGCGTCGGGCGACCGGCATGTTTTCACTTCACCTATCTAGTTTTTTTTTCTTTTTCACTAAGGGATATGCACTAAAAGGAATGAACACTTAGATTAACTAAGGGATATGCACTAAAAGGAATGAACACTTAGATTAACTTTATTTTCTTTTATTTATTTCTAGCCAGTTGGGATTTGGTAGCAAAAGGCAGTGGACCTATTTAGAGTGAGCATTAGATTAGAACACCCATGAAGGTGTTTTATAGAGCTTAGGGACTTATTTTGAGGCTTATATATAAAGTATACTAGGAAGTGTGTTTCCTTTCTATGCCTTATAATTTCCTTTTTCTTCTCCCTATCTCTATTTATAACAGGGATTACTGCTCACAAACTACTCCATTATAAGGTATTAGTCCTTCCACTTTGTCTTTAATGTTTTTAGTCCTATTTTTAATATCTATTCTGGACGTCTATATTAAGACTTTAGCATTATTTCTACCACCAATTAGTCTTTATAGAGGGGATTCCCCTTCTTGTTTTGTTTGGGGGGGCTTACCTTTGGCTATTTCTACTTCAAGATTTAATAAAGATTTTTTATTTTAATTACTACTATTTTTTGGACCTAGTCCAACCAGGATATTTGAGGGCTTTCTTTTGAACTGATAAGTTTAATGGTTCCTTGCCCTGTTTCCTTTTCCCCTCTATTTAGATCCCTATACTGGCCATTTCAACTTATGTACGGTTACTCCACATTTTGTCCATTTATTTTTGCCAGCATTTCAAGATCTCCCCAGGCGGAGATCACACTCATTATTATTTTATAGTATGAATATAATTGCTACAAAGTGGCAGTAGAAAAGGCTTGAAGCAAAATATAGTGAGAGTAGCAACAACATAGGGTGGCTTGTCTTCATTCCGTTCCCAATTTAGAGACCAAATCAAGGCATTTACCATAAAGAGACACTGTCATTGCCTCCATAATATCCTTCAATTTGGAAATGGGGATTAAAAATTGTAATTATTAAATATATCTAAAATTAGAAATATTTTATGTGAACAGCAAATTGGTCCTTGTTTCTTCCTGTCTATATTTCCAACATAAGAGCTTGAAAGAAAATATATGTACTCTTTTTCCATGTTAGGCATGCAGCTTAAGTGCTCTTGTAACGTATTACATTTTTATCTCAGAGGATAGAAACACAACCCACTGGCACACAAACAGAATTCACACCGATTGCACAACATTTGACTAAGGGAACTCTTCGGCTCTGGTCTAATGTTGTGTTAAAGGACGACTGCAGTTGGACTCCAACCCCATTATCCTCAGCCCAACAGAGAACAACAGAGATATTAATTAGGCAACCCATAGAGAATAGCAGGCTGTGCAGCATTGTTAGCGTAATTCCAATATGCACAGGAGAGGTAAAAAAGGATTTTACAGACACATCTAAAAGCTGTGTTCGGTTTGTGAGCCCATGCTGGGCTATTGAGATTCTGTCTCCACCCACAGGTCAAACTTACCAGTGTTTGCCTCGTAGTCTCCAATAAACCTCTTTGTGAGAAATCGTACGACCAATGCTGAGACAAAGGGACATAAAAGAAATTGTTTTGTTAGCAGTATATCTGCTCATAGAACATGGTATATCTATAAAACATCCAATTAACACGCCACTAAACTATTTTATCTGCTGCATGATGGCGTCTATTCATTAACAGTGAACTGGGGCCACTTAAGAAAAGAAATGCAATGGGCACAAATCAACGGTTATATTCACCAACTGGAGAAATCTATTGCACTTATGGACTGGATGTTTTTTATTATTATTATAATTATCTCCACGCAGTTTAGTGAATCGTTCGATTGCTTTCCATTTGGGCAATAATTCTGAACTTACTACCGGCAAAGTAATTCTTACCTAATTACGATAATGAATGCCACAGGTTTTATTTATATTGACATGCAATAGAATGAATATAAATAATACAGGTATACTAACATTGGAAATGAGCAAATAACGAGAATATATGATAGTCTTCCAGTTTACAAAAGTTTAGCAAAATATTGTATGTCTGATAGTTTATGTGCACCTTAAAGGAACAACATGTATTCCTAACTATATAGTGTTATAACAATGATTTTGACTATCACCAACCCCCATGTGAATTAAAAAGAAGAAAATTACTTAAAGTTACTCCCCTTGCACGCTTGTCTCTTTTTGGCCACTTCCACCTTTCCAGATGAGATCATCAATTATGATGATATTAGCCAGTGCCAGTGCCACTATAGGAGGCCCGGCTGCCCTACGGACCCCTGTGACTGTGGTGCCGCCACCATGTGTTGCGGCCCCGGCCACGCGGTAGAACCATCGGGTGGCCCATGTTCTTAGGGCCACCTGATGGAAATTAATTTCCAGGGGGCCTGGTCAGTGCTGTGGCGCTTTGACATCACAGCTGAGAGGAAGTGACAGCCTTGGTTACTCCTCTCAGCTTACACAGGGAGCCAAGCGGGAGGAAAAGGAGAGAGTCAGAGTGGGAACTCTGAGACCCATCAGGCTTAGCCACCACTGGACCCCAGGGATAGTCTATCTCCTGCACCTAAAAGATAGGAAACAGGAGGCTGACTAAAACATTTTGTATATGTGTGTGTTTGTATGTATGTATGTGTGTGTGTTTGTGTATGTGTGTCTGTATGAATGTTTATCTGTATGTGTGTTTGTATATGTGTGTGTGTATGTATTTATGTGTGTCTGTATGTTTGTCTCTGTGTCTGTGTGTTTATATATATGTGTGTCTGTATGACTGTGTGTGTGTGTCTATACGTATGTATGTGTGTGTGTGTGTGTATCTGTGTGTGTCTGCATGTGTATCTGTTTGTCTGCATGCGTGGAGGGGTAGGGTAGACGTATGGGGGGGTGGTGGGTGGTAGACATATGGGGGGCCCCAGGGCAGTTTTTGCACCAGGGCCCCGTGGTTTCTAGTTACGCCACTGGCAAATGCAATGCTTCACCAGAGGGAAGCAATGGGAGCCCAGTGTGTGCATAAGCTGCAAATCGCCACGCTGCACAATCAGCCTATGGTCATAGAGCATAGAGATGCTGAATGTAGATCCTGCAATATTTGTAGGACTGAACCTAGGAAATTCCTCCAGTGGCTGCCTAAGACACCAGAACCACTAAATTAAGCTGTAGTAGTTCTGGTGACTACAATGTCCCTTTATTCGTAGTTAACCAGGGACTCTCTCCACATTTACTGTGTGCAACATTTTCTTTCACAAATTTACAATTGTAGTTTTAAACTTTGTAACTGCCCAAAATTCATGTAGATATGTATTAGTGAACTTCAACGCTGTGCAGGAAATAAACATAGATATAAACGTGTTACAAACATGTTTTATATATAAGAAAGTCTTACATTTAACAGCAGCTCTAAGTTATATTTGATATATGAAATGTAAAAATATCAAAACTTTCTGTGATCTTTAAAAATGTCAACCATTGCATATGTATCAAGCTTTGTATTATAAGTGTCATTAAGTAGAGAATAATAATTATTCAATTTGTTATTAGGCATCATTTGCTTTAATAGTATTTAACATATTACCTGAGATACGTAATGGGCACACATTAATGGGTATATTCACTAAGCACCAAAGTGTGGTGAACTAAAAGCCAAATTGCAAATGTTATAGCCATGCTGAGACAATAGTGGAGGTATGAAGCTTCCACATCAACATTTTTTGGCCTACATTTTGTAATTTAGATTGAAATTCACTGTCATTCAGTGTTTAGTGCATCTGGTTTCTTCAATATTATTATTAATATTAATAAAGCGCCAAAACAAATTCCGCAGCGCTGTACAATAGCAGGACTAACAAACAAGTGTTTGTAACAAGACAATCTGGACGCAGAGGAACAGAGGGTGTCAATAAACTCTGAACTGACGAATGAATGGGTAAATTTAGAACAAAACATGGCATATTGTTTAACAATCTTGACATAAATTTGGCAACATGCTCATCTGTTCCCCACAAACAACTCAAAGGATAGTTTAACATCTCTAAAAAACAAAAAGTAGTGGGTACTAAATATTGCATATTCAAACCCCTATTTTGTGAATCAAACCCAAACCTGACATTACAACCGAGAAGTGCATGGAAATAAAAAATATATATAAATTGTGAAATTAAAGTCTAGGCGATGTTCCCTAATGTAACTATCCCACTAGAGACTCATGGATCAATATATATCAAATATTTGCTTTTTGTATAAATCCCTTTCTGTCTAAAATGTATAGATCTTTTTTTCTTCTTTCATTGATTAATTTTGATAGCATCTGGGTCCAAAATATACAGGTCAGAAAGATAGCCTAAGAATGTAAAAAGGCTTCTGGACAACATCTATGTATAACATTAAACTGAAGTTTTTAGACATCTCGTAGAGAAGTTAGATGAGAGAAACGTTGTTTTGATATAGTATAGTTAGTATTATATCATCATATATTCAAATGGTGTTCTCACTTCCCTGCTTTGAAATTTCTAGTAAGTACTAAGTGGCTATAATATCAATAGAACAGATGTAAATCACTAACTATCTCAAAGAGGTGCGGACTACTTCAAACTTTTCCCCATCGCTGAGCATTAGTTTATTTCATGTAGGAGATTGAACTAACAGAGGATATTGTTATATTAAGATTTCACTTAAACTGTCAAACTTGTAAATTATTTTATGATCCTTTACGTTTTGAAACCTCGTCAGTACTGCTGTACTATTATCCTACGCCCATATGCTCTTAGCAGTATCCCCAAGATCAGTGGTACTGTAACAAGGAGTGGCATTACAATAGGAATTGTATGGAGCGGCAGTCATGACTGGGCCCCAAGTCACAAAACACTTTGGAATCCCTGCACCCTTTGGCAATCCATCCAGTTGGAATACAGAGTGAGCAAGTCCTACTCTCTCACTATCTGAACTGTAAGAGATGAATGAGGTTCTGCTTATCACATCTGTACATCCATTTATCACTCTGCAGAGGATCACAAGGGGACAAAGTAAATATTTTTCAGCTTTCTCATACTGTATCACTAAGGTCGTACATCACAAATACATACAACTTGGTTTATATATTAATCACGGAATTATTGTGTATTACTATTTTCAACATTTATATAGCACCAACGTATTCTGTAGCGCATTATATTTTTAAAGTGTGAACATAAGAGCAAAGAAGAAACAAACTTAAAATAAAATTGAAAAACTGTCTGTTTTTGCCTAAACTTTCCAATTTGGTTTTAATTCACAATAATGCAATGTTTAGTGAATAATCCCCAGGTGACATTAACTATTCATGCCTCAGTACGGCGCCTTCTAATAAGTTTCACTGCTGGCAACAAGCATTCTAGATTCTTAAGAAACATTTTTATGTATAGTAGAAATATTTAGTTATATACACATGCTTACAATATAATGCGTCAGGCTATATATTACTATTGTTTGCCTGAAATTAGGAATACAAGGAGGAAATGAGGACAAGCAATATGCTGGTAGTAAATCTGTACAGCAATCGACACTTCTTTTAAGTTTTATATTGCCCATAGAAAAGGACGTAAGACAAACATAATGAAAGTGTACAATTTAAAAAATAACTTTTCAATCTTACCTGTTTTTCCAACTCCGCTGCCCCCGAGAACCACAATCTTGATGTTCCTGTTCGGGTCACAGTCCACCAAAGGGTATTCAGGGATTGGAACTAGAAGATAGTTGTGGGAATACTGTGACATAGTCTATGGGAACACAGTAAAGATAACTATCTAAAAGGTGTGATGTGTTATTATTGTTAAGTTCCAAAGCCTAGGCTTCTTGAAACCAATAACATTGTTTGTATGTAGGTCAGAGTCTGCTCAGACCTCCCTTGCTACAACACAGCTGTCCCCAAACCAAGGGACTCGTTCAAAGGCAAAAGGGGACTTTCTTCTTTTTCCCAGCTCGAGTGAAAACTGATTCCTGCAGTTCATAGCCAATCAGAGCAAGAGTAATGACATTCCATGGGGAGGAGATATGGGAATGGCTGATTTTAACTGTATCTCCTCGGATACCTAATTCATTTTGAATGGAAAAACTTTCTACACATCCTCAACTGATAAAGAAAATGTCAATGTATTATTATAACTCAAAGTGCAAAAAAATAAAAAGATTTGCTGGAGCATTTTTAAATGCGAAATGGTTTAGCTATGCTATTATTTTACGCACAATTTAACTTCTTGTCTATAAAATTTTTAGCTGCAAGAATAAACACTGTTTTACTGTTAGAATTTATATAGCGTCAATAGATTCTTCAGTGTTTTACAATTTTACAGTGGGTTATAGAAAACAGTAAGTAACTGACAGACAAAATAATGTATACAAGAGGTGATGAGGGCTACAATCTAGAACTAATTGCAATTTAAAGTTGCTTACTTAACAAATTGCAAAACCTTCCCAAATCTAATATTCTAATAAGTGTGCGAACAATGCTGCTTGTTTTATTCAATAATTGTGAAAATTAAATATCGCAGACTCTCTCCTTGGCAGACAAACTGTGGATATAAAAAGTAACTGTAATTGTACAGCGCTGCTGAATATGTTGGCGCTTCATAAATGCCAGTAATAAATAAAAAAGATTGTGCACTCATTAAAGAGAATGCAATATTCTCCAGATGGTACCTCTATCCATAACATCTCTAGCATATTTATTCCCGTATATAATGCTATCCCAGAGTATGTGGAAATATTACTACCGTTGGTGGACTTGTCCACTTATCACAATGTTGTGGCAGGATGTGTTAAAATTAATTTCCGATTGCCTGCATATTGATTGGCAATTTGGCCTGAAGGTAGCATCGCTTAACACAAACTGTACAGATCCAAAACTAGTAAAATGCCCTCTTTGGTCTACCATATTTGTACAGCAATGCACGGGATGATTTTTAAATTCTGGAGAGCTTTGGCCTTATCTGTCCAAATCTGGGTTATTAATACTATAGAGATCTTGTCGGCACATTAGACACAAATAGATGGACAACTTGGTGAAACTTGGTAGTGTGACTCTGTCGAGCAGTGAGTTGCTTATCATGTTTATTATGGTTGCTTGCTTGATACTCTGTCATCAATAAATATTATATTTATATTTTTTTAAAGTAATTGTGGCAGTATCAACGTAAAAATAAAGGTTTGATGGGCTCCTACAACATTGTAAGCTCACAAGAGCATAACTCTCTATTCTTCTGTGCTAGTGTGTAGCTGTATGTATGATATGTTAAACTTTTATACAGTTTGTTAAACTAAACATCAACTTGTCTGCAACTGTGTCATATTGTACAGCACTGCATAATCTAATAGTGCTTTATTCAAAATAAATCATAAAAAATAGCTGCTGGATGATTCCATCAAGTGGGATTTGAGATTCTGTATAGAAATGGTTAAATAAAACTTTTCTTCCTCCAGTTTGAGAAAGTGTTCAAGCTTGAATGATTTAATCCTTATTCTTCTAAGACGCCCAGCTAGAGGGAGACACAGAACAATGAGGAGGAACTGAGACCCTGAGTCAGTTGTGAAAAATGCAGGTTTTCCACATGATTATGCAACGCAAACTTGTTAAGATGCTTCTGATAAAAACATTTACCAAGCTATTGATTTACCTAGGAAATGGAACCGTATACATTTAGACTAGTTAGTGTTAACATTTACATAAGAAAAAAAGTTCTGCGTGAGTCTGTCTGAATAATATACATATCCGACTGAATTTTCTTTTTAACCGCCTGTGACAATATGTACGGGACAGAATGCATGCTGGGATTCTCAGAAGAAACATCAATATACAGGGATTAGAATCATTTTAGTTCATGTTTTCTCTGCAAGAGTATACTTGCAGCAAGAAAAGATCGTCAGCTGAATACAGAGAGATAGATCAATAATGTTTTTGGGTTTTTTTTTCTCACGGAAGTTGTTTTAAAAAAAAGTACATACTATTTGCAATTGATAAACCCTTTCATTATCAAGATGTCAGTAATGAATGGTGTAAATCAATAATAAAGCTCACATAGTAAAACTGTGTGCAGCAACTGCTCAAATCGAAACAAAAAAAAACAACTTTAAAAAAACAAAACATGAAAGTATTTAAAAAACAATTTCTTCAATAGTCATAATCCATATTTAAAAAAAAAGGGGTTTTATTGCATAAAATATGTAGTGTTATTTATGGTGTATGTTTAAACCTTGTGACACTGTATGCTTTGTATCATTATGGCAGTTCTTCTTTGCTGTTTGCCTGTGGTGATCCCAGTATCAAAATAAGCACTCAGTGTCCCCATAGAGAAGAGACATTTTTCACACGAATATCAGACTGTATGTCAGACTTATCCCGCCAGCAAGGATGATCTAGAAATGAAATGCCAGGGAAATCTCCTTAGCACTAGAAGCACTCCAACTTCAGATCTTTGTTTCAGCCTCTTATGTGTCTCATCAGCAAATTACAGAAGTCACTCTCGGTAGTCCATACTTCCCAACATTTCAAATGGACAAAGAGGGACACTTACATTTTATGGTCAGGGGCAGCATATTATGAACATGTTTTAGGACTTATGCAACTAAAATGTAAATTAGAAGAAAAAGAAAGTACGCAGGCTGATTTCTAAGCTGTGGTATAAAATCAGAAACATCAAGATTATTGAGCTCCTGCAAAAAGGGGGGGATATAAAAAAATGAACAGAGGTATTTGGGCCCAAAATAGGGAGTTTACCTCCTAAATAGGGAGACTTGGGAGGAATATAGTAGTGATCGACTGTTTATTAACTTGGCCGATTACAATGAATAAAAATCAAGTAAAATAAGGCTCTGTGAATATTTTATAAGTGAAATTTTGTAATCAAAAAAGGCAAGCAGCACTAGTATAAGTGCAAAATAGCTCTAAAAACACTCTATATAAAAAATTGGGTAAAAAAAAAAGTGTGCTCTGCCTTTAAAGGACCACTATAGGCACCCAGACCACTTCAGCTTAATGAAGTTGTCTGTGTGCCAGGTCCATCTAGGATTAACCCTGCCTGCTGTAAACATAGCAGTTTCAGAGAAACTGCTATGTTTACTTTAGGGTTAATCCAGCCTCTAGTGGCTCTCTCATTGACAGCCACTAGAGGCGCTTCCACGCTTCTCACTGTGATTTTCACAGTGAGAAGACGCCAGTGTCCATAGGAAAGCATTCAGAATGCTTTCCTATGGACTGGCTGAATGCGCGCGCGGCTCGTGCCGCGCATGCACATTCAGCAGATGATGTCCAAAGGAGGAGGAGAGTCCCCAGCGCCGAGGGAGCCTGGCGCTGGAGAAAGGTAAGTGTTTAACCCCTTCCTCCAACTTCAGCTCGGCGGGAGTGGGACCCTGAGGGTGGGGGCACCCTCAGGGCACTATAGTGCCAGGAAAATTAGTTTGTTTTCCTGGCACTATAGTGGTCCTTTAAAGATAGTGTTTCATATATACATCTGTGTATGTGTACTTATATACATAAAGTGCAAACAGATCATATAAAAGTGCAATCCCAAATACACTATATAATGTATCTTGTGCCTCTCAAGCAAAGTGCATAAGTGATATAATGTGTAAAGAGAGGGGCACTTACTTTTAAAACTTGAAAAAGGGGATAGTTTTGTATATCCTCCCAAGTAATGATAAAACCATTCACACCAAAAAAGAAAAAAGGGACAAAGGGGAGACAGGGAAAATATATATAGTGTAAATCTGAGACACAAGCACAAAAATTATAAAGTAATTGACCAATCAACTCACAAGCGTGGAGCAGTAAGAGTATATTTTTTGTGCTTGTGTCACAGATTTACACTATATATTTTTTCCCTGTTTTTAAAAAAATAACTGCTACAGAATGTTTGGCAGGAATAATACATATCATGGAGAGAATATTACAGGAAAAACGTTACATTACAGAAAATACAGAAAAATGCGTTGTTGACCACTTAAAATATAAACAGTTCACCCAATCTCTGATTTTGTTTATTTTTTCATCAGTTTAATGCACATCCCAAGAATACAGTAATTTTTTGGGGGCTCAGCCTTAACTAATGTTACGAGAGTTCATTAGAATTGAAAATTAATTTCAAATGGAATGTCTGAGAAGCCAAACTGGAAGCATAGTTTATTTAGAAAATCTTTCAATTTCTACTACTTTTACCTTACATTTGAAATTCAGTTTGAATTCTCACTTTAGTGAATAACTGTCAGGATTATAGTTGATCCAGCACGCAGAATAGTATCACACCTAGGACTAAGGATAACGTCTAACCGGACCTTAGAATGGCCGGACTTAATGTACAGCAGAATAGTCTGAATAGAAAAGGCCTTTTCCATTAATGCTTTTTGTTTCAGTTGGTTCCTGCAGGCAGTTTTTCTTAGTCCTCTCCCCCTTGCTTGCAGATTGATCCTGATTTTTACTTTTTGCCTACTGGTGCAGTATCTGTTTTTATTGCTTTACTATCTATCTTTAACCCCTTAACGCGTTCTATGCCGACCCCATTTAAATGGACTTTAAAGCCGTTGCGGCGGCATAGAACGCTAAACGGCTTTCTACCCCAGGGGACTCCAACTACTCACCTCAGCCGCGATCCTCTTCGGGAGGACAGCCTGACAGCCCAGGCAGCCCTCCCCCGGCAAATCAAGCCCCCGGGGGCCATGTGATCGCTCTCAAAGAGCGATCACATGGCCCCCTAGCAGGGGGTGACAACCATGATGGTTATCACGGGCCCGGCGGCCCTGGGGGGCCGAGCCGCCCGGCCCCACATGGAGCGGCGAAAACTGCCGCAGGTGCATCTGCACCGGGTCCCATCAGGTGGCCCAAGCATTTAGGGCCACCCGATGGGCTCTATATCCTCATGGGCCCATTCAGCGGCCGGGTAATAGCGCGACCGGGCCCCTTTAAAAAAAAAGAATTTGCGGCTACACCGCAAGTGCTGCTGGGAGGAAGTGACGGACGGTCACTTCCTCCCAGCTTACTCCGT